TATAATTTGTTTATGAAAAATCTATTTATTTAGTTTGGAAAATCAGTTTATCAGCTATAAATAACAATACGCTTTTTCGTTTCTATTCTATGGATAATTATCAATTCTTAAAATATTGTGTATTTTCAGAAATACGGTATGTATATGTGTGTGTGTACACCACCATAATATTTATATAATATTTGTAAATTAATATTTTAATAAATATAACTAAAGTTTTAAGTGTCCAATTTATATTATTAATTAATTAAAATTTCAATAAATTACTTTTAAGGTAAATTGGTTAAACAATTATTATTTTATAGTCTTCCAGTTTGATATATATAATGTAATAGTATAATCTGTGGTGTTCCCATAGGATATACTACATATACGACGTATACCTTCAACATAATTTTGAATATTGAGGGGTGTACTACGTATACTCTTAGTCTCAAGCACTTCGTGGAGTACAGATTTTACTTTTGGAATTATTTCGCAACGGACATTCAGTTTTCCCTCAGACGATTAGTATATTAATATGAAGTAATTATTGACCTTTACGATTGTATTGTATTGTATTTCTGTAAGCAATAAAAATGTATGCAGTTAATATTTACAACCCTTTCCCACCATCACCTCCGTTTGAATCGTAAAAATATTTCATGTTCAGATATTCGTCGGTGTAGTATATTCTCAACAAAATCATTGGGAACATCACTGAATATAATGTAAAATTGTAAACCCCTTCCTATATCGAGGGTCATTCCAATTTATGAATAGATTGATAAATGAAAATGTTGCCCCCCCCCTTGAGAATTTTCCTATGGGCGCCCTTGATTGTATGCTGTTCTTATATTTCTTATAATGCACTGGCTACAATTTTAATGATAATTATTATTAAGTTCAATTAAAATACACAAAGTATTAAACATATTTTCAATACAATTTAAGAACAAAAATATTTTTAATTAAAAATTATTTTTATTGTGAATAAAATATTTTAATATAACGATCTCCCATTTAAAAAATTTTAACAATGCTCTCTCTGATTGGAAAACGACTAATCAATTCAGCCGGATCCAGACCACTTTTAAACCTAACGGTATTGATAATTTATATACCTAATATATAAATAAATAATATAAGTTTCTTGTCTATATTGAATAATAAAGTTTTTTTTATTTTTAATAGAAACACTTAAATCCATTTAATTTAGCAATCCGAAAAAAATGCGAATTCGATCAAACTTTCAATTCCAAATCGAATGGATTAGAAGTAAAACATACCGAAGAATCATGTACTGTGAGTAATCCTTTTTCTATCGATTATCGTATAACTATCATATATACAAATATAAGGCATGAGAGAGAGGCTTAACTCCCCAAAACTCATGATTTTACTACATTTTTTTGTTACGACATAAAAACGTCCAGTATAAACCTGAGCTTCAGCTTCCCCAAATTTCAAACACTATTTGTTTCTATGATAACTGTAGAAGTATCGGTACAATTATAAAACAAATCAGATGCTTACTGTTTCCATTGTTACATATAGATAAGCATTCTGTATAGTCTAATCGATCATGTACGTTGAGCCCAGAGGGAGGTAAATTCAAAATTTAATTTTAGCCTTTTAAAAATTCTTGAAAAAAAAAACTTCTAGTATAACTAATAAAATATTCTTAACGTCACAATTGCGTTAAACGAGTACAATGCCCTTTTATGTATACAGTAACTGTCGATAATTGGACTCGAGTGTTTATCAGGGTGTTTGAGTTTATTAACTAAATATGTCAATAAGGCGAAAGACCCCAAAAAAATCCAAATTATTTTTTCAAAATTGTAATTAAATTTGCAAATATTTATTAAGATTTTAGCTGAGTAAAATACAAATATATATATATTACATTTTCATAAATTTATGTGTACAATAAATAAAAATAAAATAATGTATGGATTAAATAGTGAAATACAAAAAAAAAAATGTCCATAACCGAATAAAAAATCCTTTTTTTGTTCCACCATGTCAGAATGACAGTAAAACAATAGCTGTAATAACATTGACCTTTTGAGGCACCATAATATATGAGGCCCGAACAGTTATATCTATACCCATAGGACTCGTGTTTAAGGCCCCTTTTTGGTTGGGATCCGAATAATTGAAATTACAGCTTCAAATTTTAAGCTATAACGTAGGTATTAATAAGACTTTCTAAAAAAAAAATTTTAAATTCTAGAAAAAAATCTTAGATAAATGGTAATGTTAAATAAATAATTACCATTTATCTAAGATTATTATCACGTTAGATAAATAATAAATGCTTAATTGCATGCAATTACATTACAAGCAGATATATGTATTTTATTTCTTATCCCATTATTTAAATTGATTTTTCTTTAAAATTAATAACCTATATTGCACGGCTATACAAAACTTCTCTTACAAAAGAAGCTTTTGATGTTTTTACTCAACTTTTTTTTTGGTTTACTAAAAAGGTCTCTTAGACCCGGGACCCATGGGTCTTTGCATAATCTAGAGCGGCCCTGGGCCCGGGGTCTATGCATGGGCGTATTTAGACTTTCTTCTAGGGGGAGGGGGCGACTCAATTTTTTTCTTTAATTCAAGCTCAAAATGTACAATTAAAATTGTTGGTAATATTTGAATCAGATGAATTATTTGTGGTTTTTTTTTTTTTTTAAACTAATGCTAGATCCATTTAAAATCGACTTTTGTGTAGTTCTTTTTTCTCTTTTTTTTACGCCTATATGTGTTTTGAAATTTACGCTTGTGTTTTATTTGATTTTTCACTAAGTATCTTTATAAGATGATCCACATTATAAAAATTTGAAATGTGTATCTTACATATAATAGATTCCTTAAATACGGATTCAGGGAGGGGCGATCGTCCCCCTCCAAAATATGCCACTAGGTCTATGTGTAATGCACATTCTACAAACTCGATTTTTACAGCACTGCTGTGAGCTCAGTGAGAGGCGACCACTGCATATAACTAAGGCAATGCCGGATCTAGGAAATTTGACGCCCTAGGTTAATAAAAACATAGCATCCATACATTGGTGGAAGTACGGGGTTAGTTCTTGACTTTTTTAATTTTTCATAAGCTTAAGAGTGCCCTCGTATCAACAGCGCTTGGGACAGACATACCCACTTACCCCTCTAGATCCGGCCTTGAACAAAGGCTTATTTAAATTTAGCACATTTGATTTAATATACATGTAGAATATTATATAAGAAATAATCCATAAGAACATACGTGTTGTAAATTATGAATAATGGGCTTGTAATATAGAAATCAAATATTTTTTCTTATAGTAAGATTTATATTAGATTAAAAAAATAGATCAAAATAAAAAAAACAAATAATCCATATAACTCTGTTTATTTTTTTACAGAAAACAATTGCATTGTATACATTATGTGTTTTTATTCAACGATATAAACCATAGTTTTAGTGGTACAATAAAATAATATTATTAGTAAAATGTAGCGATCTGTTGTGCGAAATAGGTCAAAATCCCATTTCATAAATTTTACCACCATGAAGTATCGGCGGAATTCGAAAATAATACTTTGGTCATTAATGCTAAGGTAGTGGATACCAATGATCAGAACAACCAAACAATTAAAGAATATACCCACAAGATAAAATTGAAAAAAGATTATGCTAAACACGCGACTGAGGCTAAAATAGAAGACCATAACTTCATCATAACAATACCAATAGAAGGTAAAAAATAAAACTATTTAAATTTTATAAAGATCAATCATTTTTTATTAGGTAAAAATGAAACTATAAAATTGTAATTTTACAAATGTTATCAAAAGTCGATATGTTTTTAAATAATCATAATAAACAACTTAATTGAGTATTGTTTACGAATTCGTTGTTTTTATTATTTAATTTTTGAGTAAATAGTAGGTATCTAGAGTTAATTAGATGAATAAAACACAAATGTGCCAGAAGAGGATTATAGTTGGCATTTTTTAGTCTGAAGTAAGATTTACCTGGGTCACCCAATATACTAATTAAACAGATATAAAGACTAATAAAATACTGGATCAATCCTATCTGGTTGGACAAATATTTATTTTGTCGTCGTTCAGATATAGCATTGGTCAAAGTAGAATTAGGTGTAAATAAAATCATAAAATAGTATTATGTCACTTACAGCAAAATACTGAAAAATTCTGAATTTTATATTATAAATATTATGCAATTATAATTGCATTTGTTATAAACCCAATAACCTACCTAATTTTAATTTTTAGAAATATTTTCAAGAATTTATATAGGCAATTAGGATACATGATTTTAAAATGCCTTTCGTGATTATTGATTAAGTATAATATGAATGATAGCAAGTTTAGTATATGTATTTATGGTATTATTATTATTATAAATGATTATAATATAAAATTACCAAAAACATAAAATAATAGTAATTTAATTATGACTGACTATGAAACATCGTTTAACTTGTTGATAAAAACATTAATTCATAAAAACAGTGACATTCATTTATCTGAGCATAGTACACATGTTTGTCAGTTCTAGTGAAACCAGTCAGTTTACTATCAAATTTCTCTTTACCATATTCTAAGCTTTTTAAAAACATTTATGATGAACGTCTTGCTTGTCAGTGTTTTATCACACATCATTATTCATTCATTCTTATATCATGAAGTGGAGTAGTCCAACTGTTGATTAATAAATTTTGATAAATATATCTTGTATTATTTGACACTGGTCAAAGCTATTTTGTTGCCCTTTCATTTTTTTGTAATCAATTAATTAGTTGCACGACCATAGATATATATTTAAAACTTGATAATATCATATTAACTTATTCACATATTAACTGTGATATGCATAAATAATATAAATAATAAATAAAAATTATAATTTTTATTTATTATATATATTTCTATGTCCTATGAACACAGTAACAACATTTTCATCATTTCAAAAACACTATAAAATGTTCATAATTTATAACTTTATATCTATAACATTGTATTCAGAACATCTGGCATCTGATACATCTAAGTTAATTTTTATATGAAATGTGAAAAAAGGCTCATATAATTATTGTACATTTTGATTTTGGTTGGTAATTATTAACTTGCTAGTTCGTGATGATAATGCATATTACATATTTTCTTAATTATTATTTTCTTTTCTTTATAACATAGTTTTATTTTGTAACAAATTTGTAATTGAAAGAGTACTGATGAACAAATACATTTAAATAAACAATTATTTTCCTCTAGCTATTATTTAAAAACTAAAAATTAACTCAATAAGTGAAAATAGTTAGAAACAAGTTTAGATAATTTAAGCAGAAGCTTCAGCAAAACGCTTGGATACTGCATCCCAATTTACAATATCAAAAATTGCATTGACATAATCAGCACGTACATTTTTATATTGCAAGTAATACGCATGTTCCCAAACATCAATTCCAAATAAGGGAATATGTCCTGCGAATAAAAAAATATTTTAGTACAACAAAACATAAATCCAATTGATCAACAATGAAATTATAATCTAACCAGTTGTAGGGAATAATGGATCTTGGTTCGGACAACTTATAACCGCTAATTTCTTATTCTGAGGATTGAAACCAAGCCAACCCCATCCAGAACCTTGAACACCAATAGAAGCTGCAGCTAATTGTTTTTTAAACTCTTCGAATGAACCAAAATTTTGAACTAAGGCTTTTTCCAAATCCCCTGAAAAACACATATTGTTTTTAATTATTTTTAAAAAAAATGTAAATAATATTAACATAATTAACTGAATAACTAAGTGTATCATGACACTGAAATTCTTTTTTAAATTTTTTTTATAATATTAATAACAACAATAACAATTTTATTTTGGCGAAATTAGTATTATCGTTTATTGTAAAATACCATTAATAGTATTTATAATCAATGGTATTATTAATAATATATGGATTAACATAGCACAAGATAATAATAAAATGACCTGGGTTCTATAAATTAATTTAATTAAAATTAAAATTGCCAACCAATTACATGAAAACTTAGCTCTAAGTATGATACTTACATCACTAAACATTTATTTTCTTATAGCAAAAATTGACCTAAGTAATCATTTTATAATTGAATTTGTGTATATATGTATATGTATCAAATAGTAGTTAAAGCAGAAGTAATCTTTGTAAATACTGGTCTTAATAAATTCTAAGCTATACAACATTTAATAGTAAAATCCTAAAAGGTTATTGTATTTCAGGCTTTTACAAGCGAGATATGGAAAATCTTAACCTTAAAATACACAATCATTTTTACCAAAAGCCTGAAAATTAAAAAAACAAAAGGATACGATATATTATTTGGTAATAATAGTACTATTTTTATCTTATTTAATGTATTGAAATAGTATTTTTTTGGATGAAAAACTATCACTTATATAATGTTAATTATTATTTATAAGTAGCTTAGTAACTGTGACATCTTGAATTATACAATATTTGTTATGATTAACATTTACATCAGATCATCATACATTTTGTATATCCTAAGATTTCCCAAATCTTGTTTGTAAAAGCATATTCTACAATAAACATTTAGTGTTACCACGCATGTAATTTAGGAGGGGGTAGTAAGAATAACTCCTCTCTTTCTATATTATAGTAACTATAAATTAACATATATGTGATTATTATTTGTTATTACAACTAACAATTAATAAAAATTGAATAATGAGTATAAGTTTAGCTAACAGTATAATGCTCCACACAATATACAATTGTTATGTTTAAAATGTATTGTTACCTATTTTTTTTTAATCAATTTTAAGCACCTGAAACAAAAGTTATTTTAGGTAATTATTAAATTTGAACGGGAGATTGACCCTTCGCTGTTACATGATTTTGTAATTGATTATAAATTATTATCAATAAACGATGGCGGCCGGAGGAGTAGTACTGGCACCATGGTTCCTCCTCCGGCTCTCGATACTAACGAAAAAAAAAAAAAAGATAATTATTACATTTGTGCATATGAATAATGAGTATCAAAATAATTTTATATATAGTTATGTATTTTGAAACATTTTATGTTTGTTTACTATAAATCACTTACATTATGAATTATAATACTTTATTGCACATTATTTAAACCACAATTATTTTGAAAAAGGTTAATCATTTTCTCTTCTAAAATAAGCATCTATTTATAATTATTGCTCAACATCATATTTTTCACGTGTATTAAAGTTGGTAAATAAATTAGCAAACTTTAATGATTTTTTTTTTTATGTCTCGTGAAGTTTTTAAAACTAATGTGTATAATGCCTTAACAAATTTCAATACATAATCTATTACTTACTGTATTATATACCATTTGTAATTTACTATAAAATGAATTGTTTTTGTTAAAATGTTTTTATTTTTTTTTTGTTGTTTTAAAAATAAATTGTATTTTATAAAATTAGTTAATTAGTCAGATTCGATCGTAACTATTTAAAACATCTATCTTTTGTTAAAGGGTTTATACCCGTTTACAACAAATAAATAACTAATATACACACATATATATAAATTTTCACTATCACGAAAAAACTGATTAAAAGTAATTTTAGTTTGCTGTAATATCAATTTTAGTTATAAATACACAAATTTAATTTATAAGAATTCTTATTAAACTTAATATAACTTGTTCTGTGATGATATGTTCAATAGTTTTTTCTTTGTATTTCTTTTGTTTAAAGCTTAATTTTAAAAAAAATTATATTATCACTTTTTACTTAACAATGATACATATATTTTCATTAATTCACTGTAAAAATAACTATAAGTAAATTTATTTTATTATTTTAAGTTTAAACTTATTCAATAGTTAATAACTTAATGGTTATAAATTTACCTGAAGGTTTAGTTGAACAAGGTGTAAGTGTCTCCCAGAAAATGGAATGATTAATATGACCACCACCATTAAATCTGAGTGCTGGAGCCAAGTTTATGATAGTAGCTGTGTCATCTATAGAAACAATTTAAATAATTTATTAAGGAAAAACATCCTTTGTATTTATAAATTATAACTACTACCTTTTGCTACAGCAGTCTGTAATTTTTCCAGAGTATTATTATAATTGACTACATAAGTATTATGATGCTTGAGGTGATGAATTTCCATAATATCACGTGATATAACTGGTTCCAAAGCTTTATACTCAAATGCGAGTTGAGGCAAAGTTGCTTTTTTTCTGATTTGGGATGTATACAAACGGTTAACTGATGTGCTGGAAGTATTACAGTTGAATAAATATGAAGCAGAATCTAGTAGATAGTATTAAATTGTTTAGTTTTTATTCTTTCTCACAGATAACCATTATGTTAGAAAATATTGTAACAATACTTTTTATAAGATATGTATACTATGTACTAGAATACTGGTTACAGAATATGATCTGAATACAGATCTTACATAAACATAACATATAAATATATGTTGTTCATCTCGATAGTCTCAATAAACTTTTAACTTTTGAGTAATAAGTAGTTTGCCAATTTTTATTGATATGCAAAATGATCAGTCGGGCGTTGAAAAAAGATAAGATAATCTACTTAAGGATTTTAAAATCAACATAAGTTTAATACTCAAAATTGGTAATAATTTTTAATCAAAGGAAACTATTTGGAAAAAAGGTCGCTTTCAGCTAGGTGAAATTATTTATGGACCCAAATGAATGACATTAAATTTCCGATCAAGTTCAATACGATACATGTCTGGTTTTATACATTACCTTTTTAGCAACGTTTGGATAATCTTAGTCGACATTTTTACTTAAATAGGATGAGACAAATGAGCGACAAATGACAAATGTATACGAATGATGATCGACGGAGGTCAAGGAAAAATAATAGATTTACAAGACAAGCACAGCAGTACACAATACCATTGATTATAGTATCACCAAATATTCATAGCACTTCCAATCAAAATAGTACCACAGATTATATAAAACTTTTCATATAGTCTGTGATAGTACTATGACCACAGACATAATATGTACACATCAGTGACTATGGACCTAATGGAACGAATAACATTATTAACTACCGTAGATAACAACATTCAGCGAGCAATATTATATAAGAACGTGTAGCTTTATTCAAAAATAAAAAATGTTCAATTTACACCATAGATTTATCTATCGTAAATCCACTGGGTTGTAGCGTGCCCAGTGTTTGTCCAGTTCCTTATAAAAAAGAATTCGTTCCGTTCTTCGTTCTTTTTAAAAAAAATGGAATTTATTCCTTGTTCTTTAATAAATGAACAAGTTGCTTTTTAGTTCCAAATAAAATAAAAATTCTCATTTAATCATCAATGTTTTTTAATCATATATAATACTTAACTTTTTAATTACACATTTACGTACAAGTATTTATTATGAATAGTTGGATATTAGTTGGGTACTAGTCCAACTATTACTAGTTTGTTGTCCAAACTCGCATCATAAATGATTTTATTGTTCAGTGTTCGCTGTACATGCTCTTTTCAGACGCGATATTTGTTTATATACATGTATATATATAATAAATTGATATATATTTATATTTGTTCTATGATTTATATACTCATTTCTACAATATTTATTACCTATATTATAACTAGAGCTCGTTTGTTTATGCACTAAAAACTACTGTAATATGCATTTATACATTTATTTATTTATTTAACAAATTACGAAACATGCAATCAAAATATACGCTAAACATGATAAAATATGCGCCAAAAAATTTAAATATCTTTTTTAAATTTGCATAGCGTTTTATTTACTTTAATATACATTATTAGCGTTACACTGTGCAATTATGGTTTTTTTAATTTGTTCAAATTTGTAACTCGGTCTGTTATCACTCGGTAAATTTTTGTACCGTGAAGAACTTTGTTCTGATCAACTGATGTTATTGGAGCATATTTGAAGAATGCAAGGTTCTCTACCATAAAATCTTGTTCTATTCCTTCTATAGTATAAACTTCACTGGGATGTGTTTTCGAAATTTTTTTTCAAAATTGTAAATCCATTATACTTTTCAATTATGTTCTGAAATGTCTCGTAAATTTTTTTCTCTGCTTTTCCCTTAACCATTTTGAGGGTTTCTCTTGTATTATTGACAACTTCAATTGATTCGAACAAAGTCAGTCCTGATGATTCTAATTCAATTATGATGACTGATAAATATCTAAAATTTAACTGAATGTATATTAAGTTTGTACCTAAATTACTCGAATTAACTTAATTTGATAGCAGAATACTACCTGAATATTTCTCAGGATTTTAGAAGAGTAATATTTTGATACCTATAATAATGTTTTTTTGGTTTTTTTTTTTTAATTTTGCAGCTTAAAATCTCAATAAAATCCAATAAGAATTTGAAACTTTGACTTACTGTTATCCTGAAATTTGATTACTTTAACATAATTTAAATGAATATGATAATCAGTTCAAAATGAATACTGTGTTTTAATACAAATAAGTATATACTGGATTTTGCATAAAATGCATGTTGCTATTTTCAACATTATATACATGCAGTCAATAGTGTCTACTCTGCATATTTTATCAAAATACCGTATAAATATACACCTAACAATCCAAAAAGGTGTTCAGTAAAAAAAACTGATTATATGTAAGCACGTGTAGGTTACTAAACTTCCATGGGTTGATTATAGGAGTCATATAGTGGATACATGGCTTTACCAATTTTATCTAATCTTGTTGATATAATACCCAAAACAATATAAATATGTACATTATTACAACCACTGCTACATTTATACAATTCATGGTAAGAATTACGTTTTAGTCAAGTTAACCCATCTGCACTGAGCATCCCCAAATTGGTACACATGTATTGCTTTTTTTACAAGTCTGGTGAAATTTGTATTGATATTGTTTATGTATTATTATTACATGAGTTTATATGTTTTCTCCTCTTCATTTTGATATAATATTTAACAGTTAATTGGTAAACAGAGTCTGTTGACGGTAATTATTTCAATTAAAATTTTAAAATAAGAGATTTTCTTATTTTTCTGGTATTCGACTATAGTAAGTATAAACTATTATTTATAAATGAATGATCAAATATTTGCGTCTTATATGTTCTTACAAACATTTATTTGGATATTTTTTTTCAATTTGTTATATCTAATTTAACAAATTACATTTTCATATTGCATATTTACATCTTACTTTTTGCTTTTGAACATTTTGATAAATCAATAAATTATTATCAAAATGAAAATCAATTATGAAATTTAATAAAAATCAAAATTTTATTTTGCATGTTTTGACTTTTTTAGTGCATTTTAACATGCATATTTTATAATTTAAAATGCATATAAATCCTGTCTTTACAAAAAATTGTGCACATTTTACAAGCAAGTACATTAAATAACAATTAAAAAATCTAATCAAATTTGAAGAATTTTTATTATAACAATAAGTTTTTATTAAATAATACAGAATATGTAATAATTTAGCAATATACCAAAATTTTACTGTATACTTAAATGTTTATAGATTAATATTTATATAAAGTATATTTTTCTTATATAGAAGAAAAACAACAATATTATAATAATTAAACCTAACAAACTTACTAATAATAATTAAAAATAGTTTCCTGCACAGTTAATTAAATACATTAAATGAACGGCTGCTAATATAATTTTTAACATTGCATTAAGATATTTAAATTATTCTTATATTCTTAATTAAAAAAAATTATAATACATAATTTGTACATAAGCAAAAATCACATTCCAGTACGAAATGCATCATTAAAAATAATACAAAAAAAATGGCAAAGTATAATTTAATTAATGTATTCTGGTTAAGTCTTCAACGAGTTTAATAACATCATCCAATCCAATTTTAGACTCTTTTGTAATTTTCTTAAACTGGCTGTCATATGAACCCTAAAACATTTAAAAATTATTGAATCTATAACTTATGAATATACCTAACTAACTACAATACATACAACCAAAAGTAGTACATAAAAAAGGTAGATATAAAAATCATAAAGATTTTAAGCAATAAAAGTCCACTGATTAATGAATAATTTCTAAGGACAAACTTATTTTTATGTGTTTAAAATTTTAATATGTTCTTTTATGTTACTATGAATTTTTTATATAACATTTACAAGAAGTTAAATGGGAACTAATATTTTTAAAAGGACATAGCTAATAAAATATACTACAAAACAGTATAAGCTTTTTTAGTTCTTAAAAGCAATAACAATTATATAAACTATTACCTTAAGTCCTTCGACAACAGCAAGCATATCGGATTTGGACAAATCTAAAAAGCTTTCAATCAAATCTCCATCAACAAATGCTTCAGACGGTTCAGTTCTTATTTCTGTGTGATAGCTACGCCAAAATTGATGTTTAATTTTACCTACTCCTTTTATTACAGAAGCTAAACTTCTTTCTAAGTCCGATAAAAAATCAAACATTTTCGGAGTCAATTGTGTAACCAATCCTGTTCATAATAAATAAAAAACACAAATTAATACAAAATGTATTTTAACTTATTAAAACAACAATTTAATGAAGAAATACTTGGTTAGTATTATAAATTATGACAATATAAGTTTATAGGTTAGCAGTGAGATAAAGAAACAAGGAAAGCTAATATTATGATAATATGATTAATTATGATGGAGTAATATCATTCTTGACAATATTTCTTAAAATAAAAAAATAAAATCTTAGTAGAATTTGATTTACTGCTATATATAATACAATAGAAAAATATTATAATTTCAATAAAAATAAAAATGATTTAAGGTATTTAAGATATATTAGATATAATGAAATCATAATGAAAATAATGTTGCTAACGATTAGCTTAAGGAAATATTCAATTTTAATTTTTTTTTATTTTAGGCAAAAGAAAATTACAGAAAAAAAAAACAAATTACTTCCCTAAAACTGTGTGAAAAATACTAATTTTAATTTAAATACCATAAAAATAAGTTCTTCATATTAAACTTTACCTAGAGCTCCACTACATGTACCATAAAGGATTCCTCCTTGAACTGATACATATGTGTCAGTAAAATGTTGCATTACTAATGAACCATGCCTGAAAACATTTACCAAATCACCCAGGTGGAATTGACCAATTTCTTGAAGTTGATGCCGAGCTTCATCACTTGTTAAAGTACTAAATATAAATTAAAATTTTAAAATATAAAACTAATCATAAATAAGTAATATGCATAGTATGTAAATTTGTAAACATTAAAATAATAATCATTAAACATACCTATCTTTGTGTATGACAAACAAATTTTTATCATTTTCAGCTCCTAAGAATACATCATCATCAATAATTTCTATAGCTGTTGACCATTTTGGATTGTAGTCTCTAGCTATCTAAACAAAAAATATTTCAAAAACAATTGATAAAAATACATTACTTTTAAAATTATATAAAACATACTTCTTCAAAACTGCCTTCCATAGTTTTGTACTGCAGCAATGTTAATGATCTCATCAAATCACCACAAACAATAAAGTCACCTTTTGTTTTCACAAACAGTGCTACAATATTATTAAAGTGACTACATTCAAGTCGCAATTCCTTTTCAGCTGTCCATTCAAATAAACGTACCTATCAAATTTAAGTAATAATAGCATAGTTAATATAAGTAAAAAGTAATAACCTATAAAAAAATTCAAAAAAATTATAATTTTTTTTAAAAAAAAAAGAAGAAATTAATAGATATTAAATACTATTTTTAAGTTAAAATTATTAATTGTAAATACATTTATACTATTTTATACTTGTTTTATTGTGTACTAATAAAGTAAGAACCAAATGTTTAAACAATTAAAATAAATAAATAAAAATGCATGGCTGTTATATATTTTTTAACAATAAAAATACTAAAAAATAAAAATATATGAAAACCAGCTAATAATTTAAAATCATTTTTAAAGTTCTTAGCAAGATTTTTCCATTTTCACATTGGAAAAAGTTCTATATAATTTAATATAAATTATACTTCTTTAATTATGTCATAACATTTATTTAAATTTCCAGAAAAACAATTCAAAATATACAATAAAAATAAGCAAACTACAACAATAAATAAATGCATTCTAAATATTAAATAAAAAATATTGTAACCAATGAACTAATATCCAAACACATAGTGTTTATATTAATTTACATAGTGATACAAACCCCTAATAATAACCTATGTTTTTCTCTCACTTACCATTTCCTTAATACTGTAGATAGTAAAACATATTAAACTTACTGTACAATTAACTGCAGCTAAAAGTTTGCCATTGAATTCTGCCATACCATAACATGCACCTTTTACTTCTTTTTCTGTAATTGGTATTAGTTTTGATATTGAATCATCCCAGTGGAATATAAGAATACGTCCCAATTTGGGATCTTGATCTTCAGGGTTTACAACAGCCGTTCCCAATATATAATATGTAATTGGATCATCACCTAATTTAGCTGATATGATACTCAATGCATACTCATTGGAATTTAACTGATGCGCATGTAATACTGTAATTTCATATAATAAATAATTAATACAAACACTATTTATGGGCACTAACTCTTGATTTAGGTAAGGGTTTAAATTCAAACTCAAAATGAAAAAATTATTTTTTTTTCAAAATCTTTGGTTAAATTTAAATTTCATAGGCCAAGTGAATAATAAAAATAATAAAACTACATGAACTCAAATTCTTAAAAATTATAAATACTTCTATTTAAATTATTTTTAATAGATCATTTTACTATTTGATTATAATATTAAGTATCTAAAATTAAATAATTTATCCAATATCCAAATGGTATAATTTAATGTTATAAAAAACATAACTTTAAAAAAGTAAAATATTAAAACATTTGAATGGAATGATTAAGTTTGGGTTTGTTTCAATTTCTAAAAATAGTTAACCATTCATAATTTAGTATTTAAAAAATACAAAAAAAAAAACTTACCTTCAAAAGTATTTTGATCCAGTACTAGCATATTGTGAATTTCAACTTCTAGACCATATTCACTACTTCCTATACTTAATGGTCCTTGATTACTATTTACAGCTGATGAATTGTTAGGTATTCGATGATTAATTACACCAGAAACATTCTGAGCACTAGTACTAGCACTAGGTCTAGCAGGAACTAAATTAATTCCTTCATGGACATCTATTCTCATTGTAATTACACCAAATGACTAATTAAAAATAAAATAAAAAAATATAATTAATAAAGTTAAAAAAAAGATAAAAAAAAAATAGTTTTTAATAATTAGGTTAAGAGAAATTGAAAGATTATGCATCTAATTCATGCAGATAATCAAAGAACAATAAATTCTTGATGCTGGAAAAGAAAATATTTTTGAAAATGTTTGGACCTTTCAAAGATAACATCACAGGTGAATGGAGAAGAGTTGATAGATGAAACAAACTGGGAGGATTTAACAATGAATAGAGATGGTTGGAGAATTGGATAAGAAGCGGGATGTTCCTAGCGGCCGGATAACCCAAAAGATGAAGAAGAATCAAACAATAAAATTTAATCATACATACTCATATTATTACATTCAACATGTTCATATTATATGTTACATATATAACTTTAGTACATATAATAGGAATCATGTGATATTTTTTAAAAATTAAGCAAAATTTTAACAAATAACATTTATGAACAAATTATTTTGTAGAATCTAGTAATTATTATATATTTTATTTTTAATAAGTTTTTTGAAAATATCCCAATACTTATGTACAAAGATCAAAAATTGTTAGCAATTATAGATAATTATTTAAAATTAATTATGAACTATAATTTGACAGAGTATCTTTTTAAGTTACTACAGTTCTTCTAAACTTTAAATATTAATAGTTGAAAATAATTAACTATTATATTTTTTATTAGAAATAATAATTTAGGTATATCAGTCTTACAATAATTAAATTTATTTTTTGAAAGAAATTATCAAGCAAAAACATTTAAAATTTAAAATAAAAATAAATTTGGATCAATTAAATAAAAATATTACATAAAAAAATAATATTTAAAAATACAGATAATTTAATTATGTATTATACCTTGCTTGTCTCTTGATGTGCAATTCGTCTGGGTGCTTCTCCAAGGGGAATAGTACGTATATGTAGTTTTTGCATCTCATCAATTGTGCCAATAATAATAGCATTGTCAGTAGCCATAGCCAAACTAAAAATTGAAAATAATACACAAGAAATAAAATAAAACTAAAAATAGTATGATCATAACTAAAGTTTGCTTCACCTGTCTGGATAACTTTTAGTGTTAAGTGAACACATATGATTTACTTTGCGCAAATTAACATTTGAGAATATCAATTTATTATTTGATGAATAAATAACAGTTGGGTGATCAGAACATGCAAATACACTGGTAGTAGAAAGTGATTGGAATTTTCGGATTAGTGTTGGCTGTGTACCAAGATTGACCTAAAATAATAAAACTTTATGCTTAGGTAATTATTTTAAATTTTTATTTAAATTATAACTAACCTTACGCTTATCACTTAATACACCATTTTCAGGATTTAAATGGAAATAACATAAGCTGCCATCTCCCAATGCACATAATAAATAATGAGTATTTTCAAAAGTTACCATTAATATTGACCGAGGTATAATTTCTACACAACAAAATTGTTTTTAACTAAAGATAAATAGTAATAATAATAAAAATCATTAATTACCTTCGCCTAAAGGTTCTCGAACTAATTCAACAAAATCTGGAAGTTGAAGTACTTTTACAGATATATCCATCCATAATCCAACAGCTACTAAACTAGAAGTTTTTCCAAACTCATCTTTAAATGAACAAACATCGAGGCAAGATACTTCATGCTCTAATGTAATAAACCTATATATAAAGTTAAAATAAAAATCATTAACTTATATTATACTATTCATCAATATTCATACCCATTTTGAACAACTTTGTCAGCTTGAATTTCTATATAATACAGGCTATTGCCTGAAGCACAAATCGCTTGCTGACCATTACATGAGACTACATTAATACCAGCAGGTGAATTCCATTCACTAACTAGACGCTTAGTTTCCAAACAAATTAGTCGAACACTCGCAGATGTTATTTGAACCATTTTATTATCTGATGTATTACCACAGTAAAATGTTTGTAATTCAGATTGGAAACCTTCTAAATCTATTTCTTCTACTTCTTCACCATTATATGCCAACACTCGGCTATGTCCAACAAAAGATAAAACCAATGTGTCATCTAAAATACTATCAGTAGCTACACTTAAAGGCCACATTCCTTTAATTCCAACTAAATCAATTGTTGCTACCTCTTGGATTCCTATTCCATTACGTATTATTCTCAGTGATCCTTCTTTATATGCTCCTTAATTGTAAGACATTTCTTTAAATAAGAATTTAAAAACTTATTATTTTTTCAATAATAATACATACCTGAGCAAGTAACAACTTGTCCTTGGCCCTGTCTTTCTAAATCTATTACACACATATCAACAATAGGTCCTAAGTTCATAAATGTATCTAACACTGTTATATGTGATCCAAATTGATCAGGCTTCTTATTAAGTTTAATGAGTTGAGAATCACCTACTCGTGATGCAACATATATTATTTTGTTATCTAAGTATGTAAGTGACTCAGGTATACTAATTTCTCCTAAAAAACATGAGTTAGAAATTTATTAAAATTCAATGAATAATAAATATTATTATTAAATAACTTACCCAATAAATCAACTTTTGGGTCTTTAATTTTGAATGTTCCATCAGGATTTTTTTCATAGTTTAATAATAACATGAACAAATGACCAGCCATATCTCCAAGTAAATATCTTGTACCTTCAGAATCAATTCTAGCATAACACACTATTGTACTTTGCTATACATACATAATACATTAAAACCTTTCTTAATTCATTAATACTATTTTTTATAATATATTAAACTTTACTTTTATAACAGGGGGAGAAATAGCAATAAAAAAAGAACCATTATGGTACAAAACTGATTCACGTCCAATAATAATGGCACCACAGAGAGGTTCTGGAACAGGAATTATCATTGAAGCTTCAGTTTCAACATTTTCTTGTTTCCAAGGAGTCTAGTAACCATAAAAAAAAAAAAAAAATTAAATTAATATATTGGTTGTAAATTAATTTAACTTTACCTTCACAAACTCTTTGTCTTTAATAGATAATTCTTTAGCTTTAATGTGTCGACCCATAGTATCCTGATGAATTATTATAATAGTAGGATTGGCACAACCATATAGAAAATCAATATCTTGTACTTCTATTTCTTCCATTCTAGAATTGAGATAAATAGTAAAATCAATGAAAAAAATAATAAATATTTTAACAATTAAAAAACAATTTATCCATCAATACTAATTCATTATTTTCAATAAAATTAATCTTCATTATAAAAATTATATTATTCATTTTACCTTAAACAATAAGCTTTAAGTTCGCCTTCTTTATCTAATGGTATGATTTTAAACAATCCATCATATAATTTTAAACCAATTACTCTAGCACTAGGATCAATAACAGCCATGGCACCAATCTCAGATATTTTTCCAACTCTATCAGAAATATTACCATGAGCCCTTGTAATAATTTCAATATCACCACTTTCTGTTTGAATACATTCTAATATCATAGTATTATATCGAGCAGTCACAACAAATAATAAGTCTTTATCTTTATTCTAAAAATATAATAGAAGCTCATTAAAATATTTTACTTGTAATAAGTAGTCAAATTTCTTACTTTAGGTCTAAAAACTTTCATTATTTCAATTTTTCCATACAAGGCTATTTCTTTAATAGGCTGCAAACCTTCTTCTGTCACTAAAGAGATATCTATTCGATTAAATCTTGCAACGAGTAGATTACGATCTGTTGGTGATGTGAAATTAGCTAAAATGAAATCAAATACACATCATTTTAATTTTATTTAAATAATGTACAAGTCTTACAAATGTATAAAATAAATCATTTTAATATAAGTATAGAATTTAATTATTAATAGGTTTTCAATTTTAAACCAAAGGAAAATATAAAACCTAAACAATGTTAATTATCAACTTAATGATAATTTAGCAGTAATATAACAAGATACCTACATATTATTAAGTAATAGAGCATATTAGTCTTACATTTAGATACATACATATGTATACCACAGACGTAAAATAATAAAGATAGAAAATTAAAAAAATAGTCTTAACATACTTGATTAGCACCATGTAAATAACTAATATGTTAATACTTTCATTATTTCTAGAGGGGTAAGGGGAGGAAATGTTTTATATTAAGCACAGATTTCTTGTCTTAAGAAAAGTTTAGGGTTTACAGTATCTTAAATATAATCTAAAATGAAGATCAAGATCTAAATTAATGAAATGACATGGTGTATATGATAATTTAAAAAGGACAGTAGGTTCTCCTCAACAAGTGAAATATGAAAAAAGTACATAAAAGCATTGATAACAATTATAAAACTTCTTGGCGTGAGCCGTTCATACCAGAGATGCTAGTGACGACCGCAGTGGGCTTATGAGCAGTGACTGTATAGAACTGTTGTGCAGCCATGGTTATCTAGTCAATTTTACAATACCATTTAAATTCAACCAAATGTTATGGTAAGTTTCGTATATAGCAAACACGAGCTTGAGGTTTCACAATGAGATGCAATCAACGGATAGATAATCACAGAGACGTAAAATACGAGTGAGAACAAATTTCCATTGAAAAATAATGTCTACAGACGGGAGAATCCGAAAACGTAAGTAGGCACGTTGTACAGCAATGACGCGCCGATATAGATACTATAAAAACATTAAAAAATTGTAATAACACGTTCTCACGACCGTCGAGCGCGGTGAATGCGGCTCGCTGATACCCAACCAAACACCGGTACCATCGGTAACGCAGTGGTTTTCTAAGAAATCCATCGTTGGTTGCGCGTATGCACTGTTGTCTCTTGTCTGTCTGCCGGTTCTACTTCCGTTTACAACATCCATCACGTGTAGCGACTAGCGGTTTCCCGTTTTTTTTTCTGAAATATCGTTGTCTATCCTCTATCACTCGTGATTCTTATTGTTTATTATTGCTGGTCTTGATATTTTTTTAAACGTTATTTATTGTTCGTTGTTCGGTTTCCTAATTCGTTCGTCGATTAATCCGAGATATCGTATCTGGAAACCCATTACAGAAGTAATCATGAAATTGGTCAAGTAAGTCGACATTTTTACAATTTAAATTTCAAGAAAAAAAAATTAACTTCTTACTTAATAAATAATTTGGATAGAGTTGTTTACCCTTTTATTTATTTGTATTATTACATTTTGTAGAAAAAAAAATCAGTGTGTACTTTTGCTTACATTTTTTAACTTATTGATATCTTTACTATTTTTATATTACATACAAACAAACACCTAATCAGATTCTTTAGACCATAGAATCGCATATGTTTATACCATGGACATATTAACTTACAACTTTTCATTTTCATACTACTTAATATACCTATGCTAAATAATTGGGTTTGTAGTTAAAAAATACAAGACAGTGTCTCGTAATTAAATATTAAATTTTTTTTTTTTAATTTGGAGTATAGTTTTTTATTACATATAATTCATTGTTTTATTATTAATGGTAAAAGAATGGTATAGTAAAATCAAAGGGAAGATTGTGCATGATTATATCTTAAATATATTTTGCCACGCTATAGTACCTAGTACTCATGTTATTTAATATTTATCAAATAATTTATTGGTTTAAATATAAAAAGACATACTGATTTTAGTTGTTATATTAGTACTAAATTTTTTTTTTCAAGATATATAATATACATATTATTGCTTATTCATTTTTCTTATTTTATGTAGATTTATTAAGAAAATAATTTTTACATTTTTTGATATTTTATTTTTGTTACAGATTTTTGATGAAACTTAGTCATGAAACAGTGACTTTAGAACTTAAAAATGGTACTAGTGTCCATGGAACTATCACTGGTAAATAAAACTTTAAATTTTTTAGTTATAGGTATATATATAAATATACACAAATAATCTTTTAAAACAATTTTAATCTTAATTTTTAATATTTTCATTCATTTATTTATTTTTAAAATAAAGTAATTCTTTAAACTTAAAAATAAATATAAACTAATTATATATGTGTAAAACTATATTAATTTTAATAATTTGTTAAGAAATAATAATTGACTTGGCATAAATGCAGTGAACGATGATGGTTAATAAAAATAACAAAATGCCTGTCATTAATTTTTTTAATTTAATGTACAAAATTTTTAAAAAAGTGATACATATTTTTTATCTTCAATGATAATTTAAAAAAAATATCAATATTAACCTTGAAGAACAATCGAGTGTAAGAGGTTTTTTGTTATACCATCCTCACCTAACATGGATAAACTTGGTGGGTTCAAATCTATAGCATAGACATATTTGGCCTAAGGACTAATTGATTTTTATTATAAATGTCAATCTAATTGTGATTCAGATTCATGTAAACATGCCATACTCACATACACATCAGATTGAATTTGTTTGTCTGTTTGCTCTATAATATTTTTCATATTTGTAGCTGCATTCAAGAGCTCAAATTGGCCTCTTTGCATCTTGCTGACATAACTTTTTTTTTTATCTTAATTTATATACAAATATTATTATTACTTATTACAGTAAAATAAGTGTATAATATTTATATACAATTTACACGTTTGGGGTGGACCACCCTTCACACCTAGGGGTTTAAAAAATAGCTTTTAAGCTATTCTCAAATCTCCCAAATATGTACAAAAAATTATATAAAAATCGGTCTAGTCATTTCGGAAGAGTTCAATAACAAACACTATGACAGGAGAATTTTATATATAAAATAAAATTGTATAACTTACAAGTTAAACATGTATAATGTGTTTCATTCATATGTATATCCAACCCCTTATACCAGGGAGGTTTTAAGGGTATAATCTTCTCCTAAAATTGGAGAAAATTATTAATTATGTTTTTATGTATTAAAAGTGGTATACAAATTATGAAAATGTACAACTTAAAACCCCTTTGAAAATATTTTTTTTGTGTACGTGCCTGTGTATTTCTGATCTGGCAATTTGTTATTTATTGACATTAACTTCTAAAGGAAGTAAGATCAAATTTTTTTGAAAGTACCATCTAATAATAGTAACAAAAATACAGTTTGAAAAAAAATATTGCTTGGAAGCAAAACTGCATTCTTATTTTTTAGTCTTACAGTATTTTTAGAATAAACAATGTTTTTTGCCTATAATTATAATTTTATCAATACCTACGTGATAGTATTTTCAAATTATTAGGATTTAATCAACATTTATAAATAAATAAATTATAAAAATAAGTTATTCAGTGTTACTGCCCATAAAGTATATTTTAATTATAAGCATTAATACTTTTTTTTTTATAGTTGTATTACATAATTTTCTTAAATAAAAAAAGAACAATTTACTTGAAAGTAATTTTTTGTTCCTGGGGTGTATACAAACATCTAAGTTATAATATATTTTGTAAAATATTATTAAATCAAATTACCTCAATTGATAAAATATGTTTTATTTCATGACCATCTTATATAAATTATAAATTTTATAAATTTAGGTGTTGATGTAGCGATGAATACACACCTTAAAGCCGTAAAAATGACTGTACGAAACCAACAACCTATACATTATGAAACACTAAGTATTCGAGGTAATAACATTCGGTATTACATTTTACCTGACTCCCTTACTCTTGAAACATTATTAGTCGATGATGCACCTAAATCACGAATGAACCGTGGTGGACGAGGAAGTCGTGGAGGTTTGTATATTTATATATTTTAATTATGAAAAAAATTTGTATTTAAAATTATACTTCTAATTAAATACAATTTACTCATTCATAAATATTATAAAAAAAAAATTTAATAAAACCATTTTATTTTAGGACCAGGAAGAGCTGGTCGTGGACGTGGTGGTCCTAGGGGTCGAGGAAGTCGTGGAGGACCTCGTGGAAGTGGTGGTCGTGGGCGTGGTGGTCCACCTCGACGTTAAAACTTCCATATACTCTTTACATACCTAACAAATTCTTGTATATTTTTATTGGTCTGCATTCATTGTAAAAAATTAACTCTTGTTGGAGTTTTATTTTATAAAGTTTAATAATAAACAAATAGATTTAATAAATACTTGATTAAATATTTGTATGCATGTGTGATTATATTAAAATTCAATGGTTATCAAAGAATATTTAAGTCTTATCTACAATTAATTTTTATTTAGTTGGGTTGAATAGAAGTATAATTTTTTATTTGAAATTTAAGAGATTTATAAATATCTTTTTCTCTATTTAATTTTTTTTTTTTTTTTTACAAAATTCTTTTTTTAAATAATGTCCAAATCCTATCATCTGAATAAATTTTCTGATAATTTATTTCTTCTATTTTGAAGTATAGTAGAAACTCAATTAACTGCCACTCTATGTTATCCATCATCGCTATCGTTAATGAGACAATTGCGATAAACTAGTTGCAGCTATTATCAAGCATATAAAAATATTTACTTATATCCAACATATGCGATAAACGCAATATGAGCGACCAAATTTTTTATTTTTAATTTAATTTAATCAGTGACTAACAAGTAACTCGGTCTTATAGTTACGAAAAATACAAAATATTACAGCTAAAAAAGCTTGAATACGAGTATAAGAGCAGATTATTTTGTTTTTTAAATTTTTAGTTTAGTTGTATTTTGTATCATATGTAATATATAGTTTATACATATATATAATACAACATATGTGTATTATTTTTTTCTGAAAATATACACATTGTAAAATATATATGTTTATTGCAAAATTTCTATTAACCCTTATAGCCCTAGTCCCAATAATGACTGTTGAGTTTCTTCTGTACTATAATTGCTTATTTTTGATAATAAGTTAATAAGTTATAATAAATACTAATGAATTCAGATTAAAATATTGTTTTATTGTTAATAACAAATTATTACACAGTTATAAAAAAATTGTTATTTTCCATTTTGGATGGGTGAAATATGGATAGATTTTGTGATATTATCTAATATGCCTTTTTGTTTTTATCAGACTATTTTATGAATGGAGCTTAAATTATTTTCATACCAATTGAATTAACTACTATTTCTGTACATTTTTTACTTAAAAAGAGGTTATTATTTTACTCTTACAGTGAGGATGGTTTATTTTTGATTTGAATTATTTATTTCATGTCCAAGATCAAATTATCATTAATAATCAATTTTTTTTTTTAAGTAGAAATAATACTAATCAAAAACTGCCAACTAATTTGTGTAAACAATACATTCAATATCATCTCCTTTTTTATTTCTATACTTTAACTATATTAATAATCTAATTTACATATCATTTTATGATCTCAAGTAATTTTCCCAATAAAAACCATGTAAAACATGTACAAATAGCAACTGTTAAAAAATATTTACAGAGGTAAATACATATATGCAGGGGCGGAACTAGGGGGTGGAAACGAGGATTCATCCCTGGGCGTAACATTTTAGAGGGTATAATTTTTGTAATTATTATCAACTAATTTGATATTTTTAACCTTGTTGAATACTGTTTTTTTAGTATGATTCTATATTAATTATTAGAAAAAATTTTCGAGAAGAATATTTGATTATTGGTCTATGATAGGTGTAATTTTAACATTTTCCCCGGGCTTAAAAATTCCTAGTTCCATCTCTGCATATATATATTCCAAAATATAATTAGTAGGGATGTGTAGTTCATGAGCTAGTCGACTCTTAAAAATGAACTGGAAGAGTCAAATCAGTGTTATAAGATTTGGCGACTCAGTGACTCAGTTAAACTATTAATTCACAACTCACAACTGTACTTACTGTTACTGTACTCTACTTACCAGGGCCCCCGCAAGGGGGTGCTTATGGACCTTGAGTACAGGGGTCCGGCTATTTTAAGGGCCCGTGTACCCGTTGAAATTTATTTGTAATTTTTGAAATTTTAGTAAAAAGACTTATTTTATATTAAATAATATTTTATATATATATATATTTAGTTATTTTGATTTAAAATGCGGATTAACCAATGATTACCTAGAAATTAATGGATTAGCTTCGACAATCAATTTTGATGATATGATTACTGAGTTCGCTGAGCTCAAAGCACGTAAAATAAAATTTTAACTTAAAAAAAATATAATAAATATAAATTAAAATATATTTGTTTTTTTCTGTTTTAATTAAAATAATATTTTAATACAAAAATAAAATAGATATTATTAATATTGAAATGCTTATGAATCTTGAATATGAATTGGTATAATGATAAAACAAATATTATTCCTAAAATTGTTATATATATATATATATATATATAAATAGCAAATTGTATTTTTGGAAATTTTATAAATGCCCAGACAACCATTTAGTGTAGGGGCCCAAAATTGTATGTGGAGGCCCTGTGGCATATTACTAAACCCTAGAGTGTCCCAGTGCCTTATTCTAATACGTTGTTCTCATTGGTTGATTTAAATTGCGCGGGTAAATCATACTATTGTTATTATCATGGCTGAGTGTTGATATCACAAATTAATATTAATATCAATCCACCTTGATTAATATGTAATTAGTTTGTTATCATCATGGTCGAGTATAATTTTACTTGATATAATGCGTAATTATTATACAATATAAATAATATACAGTTTATATTTAAATTAATTTTATAAATTACAATATTATAGCACATAAATGATCATTTAACATTTTGTAAGTGGAATTTAGTAATCAAAATCATTTGCAAGAAAAAAATACAAATATTTCTATAGGTACATTCTATTATTATAAAATACAAAAACACTATCATTGGTGAGTGAAGTTAAAATTTAAGTAATATTTAAGTATTATGTTATATTATTATTTAGAAAAAAATTTTCAGACCATTCAAAAAAAAAATCAAAAAAAAATGTCTATCAATGTGTTAAGAGGTAATTTTATAACTCTTTTCTTATGTGAAATACATATAATATATAAATATATAAAATAAACCTTTAATATATTATCTACAGTCTTCATGTTGTATACATAATTCATTAATTCAGGTTTGCAATATTCATTTATTAGGCTTTGTATATAATGTATAATTTAATTTATGGTTTTATCTATTCCGTTATGTACCTAGGTATACATACTGTTTTGAATTGTTAAATGACAAATGAAGACAAGTTGAAATGACTTAATCCTAATGTAAGTATTTTTATAAATAATAACATAATTCAGCTTTATTTAATATATTTATGTAAGATCTTATAATTAAATTTGTCACTTTCTATACCTATTTAATACTAATCATTTATTAAAAAACTGCCTTAATATTATAGATTATATATATATATATATTTATATACCTATTTTCCAAACAATAATAGATTGTAAAATCTGAACTAACTATACATATGGTACAAGTTATCATTATTCATAATGTAATATCATTGATTACAAATACTATTTACAATCATTGGTAATATTATTAACAAATAACAATGCGATTTTTGTTGTACTTTTGTTTTTTGAGGAATGATGACACTTGTAATACTTATGAAAAATTACCCTAAAATATAATTATTTTTAGTACAAAATAGTATGGTATATTGTTGAAGTTATTTGTGCTTTGGCTTACTTTAAAGGATTAGGTAATTTTGAGTTTAATATATATGAAACATTAGTTGCCAAAGTAAATAAATTTATAAACTTTTTGGCTGATTCACTATTTGAAATATTCACTCTTATTATTAGACTTATTAGACTTGAGATAACTTTCTTTCTCGTCAACAACACATATACATTTTTCACAAAATTGACTAAGATACTCTTAAAGTATTTCAATGTCCATCTTAAAAATAGTTTATTACTTCAACTTGGAATTTTTACTGGGTAATTAACTTCACTTTTAAGTTTAACTTAAAGTTCAAACATTAACTAATAATATTTAGTTGATTCCTAATTGATATCAATCAGTACTAATATATTAGCCATTAGGTCACCTAGTGGTACTTTATTTTATTATAAGATCTTACATAAATATATTAAATAAAGATGAATTATGTTATTATTTATATAAATACCTATATTAGTTTTAAGTCAATTCAACTTGTCTTCATTTGTCATTTAACAATTCAGAACAGTATATATACCTAGGTAGATAACAGAATAAATCAGATAAACAGATAAATTACTTTATACATGAAGTACAAAACCTAATCAATGAATTATGTATGCAACATGAAGAGTGTAGATAATATATTAAAGGCAGACTCATCTCTCTTCACATAAGAAAAGAGTTATAAAATTACCTCTTAATAAATAATAAAATAACTTAAATATTACTTAAATTTTAACTTCACTCACCAAAAATAATGTTTTTATTATAATAGAATGTGTAGAAATATTTGTATTTTTTTTTTTTTTTTTGCAATTGATTTTGATTACTAAATTCCACTTACAAAATGTTAAATGTTCATTTATGTGCTATAATATTATAATTTATAAAATGTATTTAAATGCAAACTGTTAAGCAAGTATTAAATAGACGAGTAAGCACCTAACTTATAAAATTTGCTATAATAAATCATGTATGATGCATGGGAACAGTTAGAAGGCAGTATAATTACCATTATATTATTTATATTGTTTAATAATTACGCATTATATCATATAAAATTATATATTATGTCTATGGCGGGTACTTGGGTAGTATTCAAGATTCGTAGTATAGAATAGATGATATTCATACATTTTTGTATTCTAGGTTTATAGACTGTAGAGTAGTAATGGGATAATTACGTAGGGTAACCTTGAATTAACGGTATAGGTAATTTAAAGACTCTAAATAAAAATATATAGGCTTATATTATATTAGTCTTCTTATATAGGCTCTTTAGTATAAATGTATTAGTTAAAAATCACTAATATCTAGTTGGCAGTTAGTAGATGAGATAAAATATCTACATTCAGCCATGGCCTATGATGATAATGCTATGATAACGAACTAATTAGATATAAATATTAGTTCGTGATATCTACACTTAGCCATCATAATAACAATAGTATGATTTACCCGCGCAATTTAAACCAACTAATGAGAACAGCGTATTAGAATAAGGCGCTGGGGCACTCTAGGGTTTAGTAATACGCGGCCCTGTGTACTACTGTAGATACATGACTCTCAACTCCCTTGATACCGGTTTTCAAATCCAAACGGAAAATGTAAAACCAACTTAAACAATAGTTCACAATGTTGTAAGATTAATACATCGTAAATAGCTCAGTAAATCCTACAACAATGAGATGTTCATGGCCCATGACAGCACAGATAAGAAAAGAAAACGTAATCTATGGACTGTCATCACAAATCGCGGCAGCTTGATGCCGTAATCGCTGTGACCATATTATTATATTTCAATCAGTGGCGTATTTACCGGGGGGGGGGGGGAGATCCAGGGATACTGGATCTCTCTCCAGAACCTCTCCAAAAAATAAAAAATTAACAAAAATTCTTATATATTTAGTTCAACTTCCTCCAAAAACTGCATATGGACGTAACTATTACAATATAATAAATAGTTTATATTAATTATGTATAAACTGTGGACCCCCCCAGAAAAAATTGAAAATAAGCCATTGATTTAAATTGTTTCTTGAAACATGATTTCCGACTTTCTGAGAAAAATTCGTAACGTTGTTCGTTCATAATTAGTTTCATATACAAAGACCATTCACGGATATGGACTATGAACTTGTGAGTCAAATCAAGACTTGGGACTTAAACGAGTTGATTAGTGTAGTGGTAATCTGATTCAAACAAACAATTGAAGAGTTGGTAGTCGACTCTTTGATTCAACTCATTACACTGAACTGAGTTGAAAGATTCAGTTCAGCAGAATGAGTTGGAATTCCCTTCCCTAATAATTAGTAACTAAAACAAGCAACTTTTAAGTAAAAAGGTTGTCTATAGGCAGTTCCGGCCCTAGAGAGGGGCAAGCGGTGCGATCGCACCGGGCTCCGCACTTGTATAGGGCCCCACAAATTATATATTACGAATATCACTTTATCTATAAATAAAAATAATATAGTCCCAATACACAAATCGCAACTCGTATGGTCGTGTGGTTTTCTTAGGATACGGGTTGTTATCGACGAAAATAAAGATGGTACCAATTACGCATAGCTTTGAAGTATTGTACTTGCATTTGTAAAATTGTTTATCGTCGTCGATGGTTTGAAATATAGTTAAACGAGTACTTTGTATATATTTAGTTATATAATAACATGAAAAAAATATAGATTTCTATAAACAATTAAAAATTAGTATATAAATATATGGGGCCCCAAAAATTGTTGGGCCGGCACTGATTCTACATCTTATTTAAATGAATACTATACTACTATGGTCAAAATTGTTAATCAAAATGTATTATTATATTATTATAATTGATTATTGTGTACCTATTTATTATTAATATTCAATGATATAATGTTGTTAACAATTTATTATATTTAATGTTATTGTATATTAAATCGACGGTTCATACTACATAACTCCTTTTAAACCCGTTGACTTTATAATCAATAGTTTGTAGGTACTTCGATTAATAATGAGCGTAAAAAATGTATATTTTTTTTAATTGGTTAATTTTATCTTCACGCACCTTAAAATTATCATTTCTTAGTGATTAGGTACATTTAGACACTTGTTAAATTATGTTTACCATCCGCCTACTTATGTAGACAATAATAACAGTTCAATATAATGACTTTATTATGTTCAATGTTTCTTTTAAAAATGTAAATCTGACAAAGTTTTTTCAACCGATTTTAATATATTATTATTTTTTTTTCACATAGTGCGGAAAATTAAATCGATTTTAAAAACACTACTCTTGGTATAATTTTTAACTGAATGGATTAAGGTATGCATGTGTAAAATTATACCTCATGTTTAACGATAAATAATTACACTATTACAACTATATTCACTATTGTAGTTTTTGCGTTTAGTTAAAACGTTTACCATTTATTCATTCTGTTATTTTATAATATTAGTTTACTTTCAACCATTCATAATATTGTGTTGATATTGACATCTTCATTCATGTTTTTTAACTTTTTTAATCATTACATCGATTTGAGACATTTCAATGATATTCATAAAGCAAAAAGTGTGTTATTCAATAGTTATACAAGTTTTATATGTACATACAAAAGCAGTGGTTCTCAAACTATTTTGTTCTCGAAGTATTTATGTTCCTAAAAAAAATTACGGAGCCCCAAAAATCAGGAATTTCTATACGAGACAATAATAATTATTACATAAAAAAATGATGTATGATTACGAATGATTACATATGTTCCACCATACGTTTCAAATCACACTTTATATCCAGACTCGAAAATTCATATCGTTCAAGAAGCATCTAAAATGGCCAACAAATTATTCCGTGCTCGTCTTACAAATGACTTTAACCCAATAATCCTTTCTCTAATCCAATGATTTAGGAACTAAAATGGTATGCAGTACGACACACTTTGTGTAATACGAAATATAAAGTGTGTAGTACGAAATTAAAGAGTGTGTTGTAGTTCTATTTTCTATATTATGGTATTTGTTTTTAATTTTACATTTTTTAATTAAATTATTTTACATATTTTTAAAAATTCCAAGATGTATCATAAGCAAAATCTAAAATACCAACTATTTTAACTGTGTTACTAATTACTGTTTGAAAGAGGAGTATGACAAAATCCTTAAGTGTGCAGTACGAAAAAATATATATTTTAGTCTCTGCTGTGATTCCCAACCTTTTTATACTCAACGCCCCTTTTAAATTTACAAAAATTTGTGTAATTACTTCAGCATGTCAATCAAACCAATATATACTGTAAATTCTCAAACATGTTTATTTTTGAATATATTTATAGATTATATGTATTATAAATAAAAGTTTTAAAAAAACTCTGGGTAGGTTAACCTCTGGGTAATTATTTTATAAAATTATAACTGTATGATAAATAATCAGATACGATTTTTACAAATATTTGTATCCTAAAGATTCATGCACAACAACCATTTGACAACTTGTTATTATATTTAATATAAACATAAAAATATAGAGGCATTTTCGACAACCACACGGAGACTTTCCAGTTCCCGTATGACAGTTTACTTTTGCTCTTGCAAAACCCACGAAACGGGTGGTGCCGATGAAGACACATTGCCGGCTTTTTGAAAGATCTTCTTCTTCTTCTTCTTCTTTTGGCTTTCATTACTCTCAAAGAGTTTTGGTCACCATCAATAAATCACCTCTATTATCTTGATTCTGTACTATCTCCCTTAAATTCTATACTCCAAGGTTTTCCAAATCTTTTTTCTACGACATCCAACCATCTTTTCCAAGAATGATTCCGTGGCTTTCTTCCATTTGGCTTCCAATTTAGTACTACCTTAGTTAATGCATCTGTATTACGCCGCATAACATGTCCTAGCCATTTTAGCCTTTGACTTTTTATGAATCTATTAATTGTATTAATTGTACTATTTAATTCTTCCTTTAATTTTTGATTGAACTTTCTGTGCCATTGACCGGTCCTCGGATTTCTTATCGGCCCACATATTCTTCTCCATATCTTATTCTCAAAGGTCCTCAGCTTTTGCTGTGTTATATTTGTAGTAGTCCATACTTCCCAACCATAAATTAGTATCGGCCTTATTATTGATGTATAGAGTCTTATTTTTTTTCGTTTGGAGAAGAGTTTAGATTTAAATAACTTTAGCAAGGCAAAGAACGTTCTTTCTGCTTTTGTTATTCTTGACCCTATTTCACGAAACCAATCATTTCTTGGTTAGATTTATTTATTTTGAAATCCAAATTCTTCCATCACATAATAGAAACTATTTTTATGTATGCTGTCATAAACTTTCCTGAAGTCGATAAACATTTACCATATGTAATGGCGTTACTCATATTACACATCCAATTTTTTAGGCTCCTTATCGCTGCTCTCACTTCTTCCTTGGTTATTTCTTTTACCAGTGGATCCTTACATTCACAATACTTGACCTAAACTTTATGTGGGTAAGTTGTATTACTTATTATCACATTCTTTGAGGATGCAAACGATATGATTTTCAACCCATTGTCGTTACTACTATCATGCATGCTTTCTTTTCCTATTATTGGTTGAAATTGGGTTTCTTTCCCACACATGACATTAAGATCACATAATATTACTATTTTGAAAGATAATTATTTAAAATTAATAAGTTGAATAAATAATAACAAGATGATAAGAGAATGATAAGAACATAAGATGATAACAAGTTAATAACAATATGATTGTGTATTTTACATACCTAAAATATTAGAAAGACCATTATAGAATATTTAAATATATAACATGATTTTTTATAAAAATAATCTGGGGAAGTTTTGGATACATTACTGAGATGTCCCACTAGGAGTCAATGTATAGAATGGATGATGACTTTTGCGTGTGAGCCGATTTCACCCTGCCCCGGGCACGTGTTTTTCCTAGGCCATCAATGACTAATTTATCAGAAATCAAAATATGTTTTTAGCGTTGGTACATAACAAATAAATACAAAAATCAAAGCCTTGTCGTGTTTTCTGTGTCGGGCCAAAAACACTTTTTCAATAAAAAAAAAAAATACGAATGAAGACAAATAAAAACGGCCAAGTGAAACGCTGTAGGCAAAATTTGTTGAAAACACCGACATTGGCATCGTTTGTTCGTCGTCGTGATGAATGGTAGGATAATCTCAGTGTGGTTTACAGTTAGTTATCGGGAGTTAATTTATTTTTACTGCGGGCATATTCAGACGTCAGCGACGGTGGTGGCCGCGATACCTAGCAATAAACCTCGGTGATATTTCCGAACGTACAGGGAGAGATGGGGTGATTAAGATTTTAATTATTTCACGTAGAATCCTAAAATCCTGTGACGTCACAATATGTACACTTAGTATACGTGTAGATACATCAAGAAATTTATTATTAGTGTATAGTGTAATGTATATAAATTCAATTTTTCAGGAACAAATTTATGGTATAAAAATTAAAAATGGATAATTTTCGGCAAAGATTGTGTTTTTCTGCGCCGACAGTTTCAGACATTTTAATGGATAGCGAAAGAAAAAATGTAAGACGTTTGTTTTAAAATATATGATAATGAACATTTAAGATTTAACATAATATTATTATTTTTTTAGGAATTTCAAGATCTAACTACATTTTTTGGTACAGATGAACTAGGCAATACGATAATAATGAATGTTAACCAAACATATAGTTTTAGTCAATCACACTCTTTAGTATACGTCCAAGATCAGAGCGGCCTTGAGTTCATTAATAAAGGTATATATATATATATATATATATCTACAGTGGCGTCGCTAACCATGATTTACAGAAGCAGTTCCTTCTAGAATGGGATGGGATGGGTGGTAGAATGTTACTTCGTCACTTTTTGATAAATGGTTAGGTATATTGGAAGACAGCAGTCAAATTTGTATAAACCTTAAAATTTAAGGCGTAAAGTGAACACTAACACTGAATCGATTGATGGGGTGGGGTGGGTTATTAATAAATTGTTCACAATTATATTCTTTATAGTTCATTACACCACTGTATTAAACGCCCAAATAATATTATTATTCTGTAATTATTGTTTAAACAATAAATATATACTAAAAAATACAATTAAATTTTTTAGAAACAGTTAATGGATCTTATGAGTTTTCTAGTTGGAAAACTCCCAGTCTCCAATTTCAGTGTATAGTGCCGATGCAAACATGGAGAATCGTCTTTAGTGGTTGTCTAAGGTTAAAAAAAATACAGCAAAATACTTATATGTTATTTTATACATTTTCGGAGACGAAAAAAATTATTTGTTTATTTGTTTAGAAATTCCAAGAACCTTCGTCATGTGAAAATAAATTTCTTGTAAGTCTATTGAATTAATACTTTTATTTCTTAAACATGTATAATTTTATAATTCCGTATTATTTTGGAAAATTACATAATAGATAATTATTAAAAAATAACTTTATGCTCGGATTTATTTTCATTAGTATAGTAAACATGAATTATAAGAAATCAATCTAATCAAATTAGTACAATAAATGTCGACCTAGGACAAATGAACGTAGCCGTTTGGACGTGGCCGTTTGAACGTAGGGACAAATGGACATAAAAAAATAAATATATATATATATAAATCAGTAAATAAAATAAATAAGTTATTTATATTTATTATAATATGTAAATTTTAATCTCAAAAATATTCATTCAAAAAAACTTCACCGTTGCGACTTGAATTAATTAATGACATCTTACATGTACATTTGAATGCAATTTGTACACGACTAATATAGTTATGTATTGTCTTGTCTCGTGTATCACCGTGTTTCGATTAAGTGTGATAATTATTACAAAATGTAAAAACCAATAAGTTATATATATATTGATATAAAAGGTACCTATTGCCAAAACGATAAAATTCGATAAGATTTGATATTATGATACTATACCATTAGTCATATTATGAACATAAAATATCAATGGTTTTATAACTTATAAATATACATATTTTTTTTTGTATGTTCATTTTTCCCACGTCCAAACGGCTACGTCCATTTGTCCCTATTCGAATAAATGTATATTATTAGGTATATCAAATGGTATTTTAAAATACATTCGGTAGGTTACTACTGATTACTCAAATAAAAACCAAATGCTAAATAATCGTTTTAGATGGAAGCCATTCGGATTTCCAGTGTACTGCAATAAAGAAAATACATTTTTCAAACACGAAATTGATGATACTGATCCAAACATGTAATTAATAATTTTAACTTTTTCAAGAATATTATACTCTAAACAGTAACTGTTTTCAGCACTCAAAATATATTGGGATTCGATCAATTTGGTCAAATATCTGGCATAATGGTTGTAGATGGAAAAAAAGAATTAATAAACATGCGCGCAATCAAATTAAGACGTTGGAATATAGGAATCGGTGACTCATCATTATATATTGGATTTATAGATAATAGTATTTGTTCAGTTCAAAAATTAAAAGGGTATTATAGACTGCAATAAATAAAAATCAATTCGTTTTTTATTGAAAACCTAATTAAATTTAGGATTACCTGTAGTGGTCATTTTAAAATTAATTTAAAACACGAAATACTCGCACCCAACAATGGAATGTGTTTATTAGACGAAGAAAAATGTAAAGCATCAATTACAATACAACATGAAGGTAAAAATAGTAAATAGATATTATAATTATTTCGAAATGGTGGGGATAATTTTTATTTTATATTATATTATGTTTTAGATTTTAATTTAAATGAAAATTTGAAAATTCGAAACCCAATTATTATGAACAATGTATCGATTGAAACGATTTTTGGAGATTTCCCAAAGTCAAAAGGAATACTTATTTGTCTTAGGTAAAATTATTTAAGGACTTTGAATAATTATTAGAAGAAAAAAATTTTAACCGTATATTTGTAGTATAATTAATTATTTTGGTTAATACAAACTTAATCAAGGCCCTAATTGGTTTGTAGATCATTTTAATTCTGTTCACATATTCAAATTCTGATAATTCCAAATAAAAAATACTAACAAGTTTGTGATTCAGTAAATATACCTACATAATGTTCAATTTATCACATAAATTAATACTTAAGAGATTTAAATTAGTGATGGGAATTATTTGAATATCATTGTTTATTCTTCTACGATTTACCAAAACTGGTTATATTAATCGAGTTTTGGGCTATTACGATATATTAGTATTTTATTTTATTAAATTATTAATATTATTAATTGATAAGCGATTGATTAAAATAAATGTTTATGTTTCATTTTTATTAAAAAAATGTAAATTTTATTATAATTTGAAGTAAATTTGTTCTTAGAACAAAACAATTTTTGTTTTGTTGTATATTCATACATTTTTAATCGACTCCATATGCTTATATGTTAAAATTTTTTTTCATATAATTCGTATTTTAAGGTGTTCGTATATATATGCTGAAAGTTTTAATAACACGAAGTACAAGTACTTATTAATCATTATAAAAACAGTAGAGAAATACTATAAACTAATGTACTCTATTTAATTATCAATGTTTAGAGATACGCCGAAAAATGATGCAAAAATAAAACGGGAACTGATTCCTGAGACGGACCATAACAATTTAACTGTAAACTTAGAATCGGAGTTATGCATGTTTAGCAATATTGTAGGGAACAAAGCAAAATCTTTGTTTCTATTAAAAAAAGCTATAACCAATGGTTCGATCATCGATGTAAGTTACGTAATTTATAAAATATATGGGTTTACTTATACTGTTATGCTTTTATACAATATATAATTTACTGTAAATTGTAATATTTTGGGTATTGAATTCAAAGTAAAATATAATATACATTGAGGTTTTATAATATTTTGACGTAAAGGCCATTGTTCCGAATGGTATATGTATCACAACGACAGCGATGAGAAACCATATTAACAAGAATGAAGATTTATCGATTGGTTTAAAAGACTTAATCAAAATAGCTACAGAAGATAGCAATTTTGAACAGTTGTCAAATTACTGTCGACGGTAAATATCTGTGGTTCCGTTGCAATTCATTTGAAATAGTATAATATTCCGTTCGTATATAATCGAATTAATGTTTCAATCAGATTGCAAAATCTTTGGCGATCGTCAAAGATAAGCGCTGAGTTACTGGAGGCGATTTCGAACTACACTGTCGAACATGGTATATACGCCATCCGATCGTCTGGAATGTACGAAGACGACGAATTCACATCTTCGGCTGGCCAATATGTCACTGTGCTTGACTGCGCTGGTCATTTGGACGACGTCGTAACGGCTGTTTTGGAATGTTGGTCGTCGAATTTCTCGACTCGAGCTCTAACATACCGAAAGTATGTACATACATGTATTTTAATGTAGCTAATGTCAGTGACGTATGTATATACTTAGCGATGAAGTCATTTCAAGAGTATCCACCTCTCATTTTTTTTTGTAAAGATTTGTGATAGATAAAATTATGTTTATAATAATTTCTAAGGAATAATTAACTGATTAAGGAACAATATTGATGACAAAACTAGACTGTTGCATATTCAATTTCCCATTGAATTACCCTAATTTTGTACTATTTTTATAGAAATAACGGACAACCTTTGATGTGTGTTATGGCCGTGATTGTACAAGAACAAGTAACCGGGCAAGGTGTAGCGGGTGTCATGTTCACCAGAGACCCAAACACCGGTGATCCTGAAAAAATCACCATAGCATTAAGTTATGGCTTGGGTGAAGTATGTTACAATCACAACCAATTTCGTAATATATATATACAGTGAAACCTCGATAGCCCGAACCTCTATAAGTCGAATTTCTCGATAATTCGAATTTCGCTAACTCGAATTTCTCGATAAGTCGAAGTAATTATAGTTGAATTTTTGCTTATGATTCAAATTTATATAATAATATATAACACGTACATACATCGATAACTCGAAGGTCAAATAACTAAGTATATGATTATAAATAACATTAATCGTAATTGAAAACCGATTAATATTATCCATTTAATATTTACCTAATGCTTAAAAGGTACAGTTATAAATTTAACGATATAATATGGCTTTGCTTAAAACTACTCTTGCCCAAGCATTAGGTAGTTTACAGGTTGTATGTAAGTCATTCAAGAACATTGAGAAATTAGAGAAGAGATTTTTTCCGTGCTAAATATTATTGATAACTTTAGAGTTAGGTAGGTCAAACAATAAGAAACAATTAAAAATATCAGATTTCTTTAAAAAAAATAGTTCTAATTTATTCATTACATTGTATTTTCTTTATTACATACAATTTATTACTTTATACTTTTTTAAAATTTTAATACAATATACATACCTACATACATTATACATTTATTAGTAAATATATAAATAAATAAATTTATAAAATCTTTGTGTTTTTAAATAAAAAAAAAATTTTAGTAACTCGAATTTTTTTTGCCGATTTTAGTAATCGAGGTTTTCCATAAGTCGAATTTTCGATTACTCGAATTTTTTTTTTTTGCCCCCAACCGATTCGAGTTATCGAGGTTTCAAATATTTGAGTTATATTTTAATTTTATTTAAATACTGATGATTATTTATGTTGACACTTTATCTATAAACCGAGTATGTTGTGTATACAGAGTGTTGTCTCAGGATCTGTCGAACCCATATCTATCGTTATTTCAAGGTCGCAATTCACGACAGTCCATGAGGATCCTGTTACAAGGCTTTTTAGTAAAGACATAATTCTAAGATAAATAATTTGGTAACTAAAAAATGTATTAATAATAACACGTTTGAATAGATTTCAAGATGGAAAACAACGTATGTCATACAAAACCGTGTATTTCCGATGATGTATTGAAAAAGTTGGTCTACCTCTGCGTACAAATAGAAAGTGTATTTGGATCACCTCAAGACATTGAGTGGGTGATTGTAGAGGTATATTTTATTATTTTTTATAGGCTATATAACATATTCTGATGTCTTAAAAGTCCCCAACATCGTGAGTACAATTATAAAAAAAAAATCTTAATTCACATAAAAATTACTAAAACCAAATGCAAAAATATCTAAAATTGAATCTATAATATCTAATTTCCATTTCCACAATTTTTGTGAAGAAATAGTTTAATCTGGTTTAGTACCTATAAAGCAATTAAGTTTCAAGTTTTAATATACCTACTTATATATACCTTATCAACTGTTTTAAAAAGTAAATTAAATTTTTATTAATTAAGTTTTCAAAAATTAGTGGTATTACCACAGTGCATTTTTTTAAATTATTTCATACTTTATCTCTTAGTTTTATAAGTTCTGTAACTTTAAAACTGCAATATTAAAAAATGTAGGACTAATAAATGTTACTATTTTTATGAAATAAACGGAAATCGTGGCTTACTTACGATATAGTTATCTATAAAATAAATAATGACAAATAATTATATGTATATTATAATACTACTTACTTAAGTACATGCTTGTATAACGATGAATGAATAGAAATATTACGATTAACAATAATACAATACGCGAATACGATGCAAAATCAGTAATGAATATATAGTTTGCGATTTCAGAATGAATAAAATTATATGTTTTTGATTGTATATCGGCAGGATCGCGTTTATCTTCTCCAGTCCAGACCAATCACGTCAATATTCGCTTGGACCAATGACGAAATCACGCGGGAATTTGATACACCATTTACATGCGACGACGTAGTCATGTTTTACAACGTCAAGTTAAATATCGTTTTTAAACTTAAAAAGTGTATTACGGCTTATGAAATTTTTGAATGCTATTGAATTTTAGAGAAGTCTATCCCAACCCCATGCATCCGCTGTCGTTGACTTTGGATTTCTTTTCGATGTACCCGCTTTTCAAATTAACTGTAAGAGAACCAACCGAAATCTATCGCAACAAACAGTTGTTTTACACCCATTACAATCTGTGTCTTAACGTTTGCCAAGTAAGTATAAATTCTGTTTTACATTAAAAAAAATATATTTACATTGAAGTACATGACAAAATTGGTTGTGAGACGGGATGGTCTTAAAGGCCCAATAAACCCTAAGAAGAAGAAGAAGACATGACAAAATTATTGTGTAACACGTACCTACTCCTACAAAATATTTAATATTATATTATTTATTATTTATTTTATTATTGTTATTTATTTTAATAATTATTTATTTTATACTAAATTTGTTAAAGATATTTCAAGATTTAGAACCTCATAGCGTATTTGTGAAAATAATCGAGTATTCGATAGCCGGGAAATCCTTTTTAACGAATGATATGTGGGAGAAAATACTATCGAAAAATCGTAATTCAGCATTGAAAAAAATTTTTAAATCTATTTCTACGCTCAAGGCAGGTTTATAAATAAAATATGCATTTTAAATTTATTGGTGAACTTTAAAATATGTTTATTATAGGATACATTATTCCTTGAATCGCGGTTGGCTGAAACACAAAAATTGATTTGTAGTGTGAATGTGGAACAATCAGATTCATCTTTGAGTATTTTAAGCAAAATCAACAATGTTTTGGATATTTTTGAAAAGGTCTTTCAATCATTAATTTACCCAAAAACATATATATATATATATATATATAAAGTGTGACACCAGGATTTACTTAATTAATTATATTTTTTAAGATTTTACTTAAGCATTTATAATAATTTTAAAAAATTAAATTTTATAAGTTAATATACAAATAAAAAACAAATAGTTTATATATAGAAATAAAAAAAAAATAAATAAATACTTACCATGGAGTATTATTATATTTTTAAAGTACAACCGATTTTGAATTAAAAATTCATTGTCGAGTATATACAAAGTCAATATAATCGAAACTGAATATAAAAAAATAAAGGAAAGAATACTTTGAGAAAAATTGGCCGTTAAAAAATAGTGAATAATCGTGGTACACTATATAATATATATATATATATATATACATATTTTTACTTAAATAATTATATTATATATTGTTTAAAAAAAAATGTTTAAAGGTCACTTTTTGTCACATAGCCTCAAGCTCAAATAACATCGTGTCTCATACTCTGCTGGCGATTATAGGACTTGATTTCAATAAAGGTTAAATTATTTCTCTATTACAAATCTTATTATCAGCTATTAAATGTATATAAATTGATTTAATGAATAACTAACGATACATTTGTTGATTTATAGACTCACCAACAGAATCTCTATCGAATTTAGCGTCTTCAATAAATACACCGGATATAATAAACGTTTCTATTCTAACAGATATACAAGTAACATTATTAGTAGAACAATATTATTAATATTAATAGTAAGTGGTTTAATAATATTGTTAATATACTTTAGGATATTGCCTGCGTTATATCTGAAATGTCTAATAAAGAAGATTTCTGTAATTTGCCTGTTGAAAACTGCTACGATTGGTTGAAATTAAATTGTGAAAAAGGTTATGATAAAGTGCAAGATTTTATCAACAAATATGGCCATCGTGGTGTACAAGAAGTTTGTAGTTTTATTATGTACTTAATTCATAAAATAATGTAGACACTAGGTAAACTTTTTAAATTTTTATATACAAATAGTTAAATAGTTTAGTTAAGTATCAACAGAAAACCGAATTTTGTTTGATTATAATTTTATTAACAATCTATAGATTGTTAATACATATATGTATTAATCTATTGATTACCGACTTATATTGTATTTGTAATTTATTTTTCAAACGTACAGTCAAATATTCGTCATTTTTTTGTAATAAAATTCTATTATTTTATTATAGCTAGATTTTGGTTCTGAAACCTGGTCAACCGAACCTAATCGTTTGTTCTCGTGTCTACAGTCATTGGTATCGCTTGGCCATCGTCAATCTCCTGTGAAACCAATAGAAAACCATTCTAGTACGGTTCCTAGGGGATATATTAAACAGTAGTTACCAATTATACACTTTCGCAAAACTAAAAACGAATATGTATTACGAGTTATGTGTATTTATTTTGTATTAGAATGGTGTTCAATTACTTATTAAGGAAATATCGTCAGAGCATTACATACAGAGAACAATCTAAAGATATGTTGGTTCAGATCACACACAAGCTGAGATTAGGCTATCGAAAACTTGGCGAAAATCTTGCAGCGGATGGTAAAATACCGGATTGGAAACTAATATTTTTTATGTCTCAGTTCGAAGCGAGAAAGATCTGTGAAAATAATTACTGTCCTTTAATCGTACATAAGTAAGTATAACATATTTTAATATAACGAGTAGTAGGAAAAAAATAAGAGTCTGATGCGATGAAGTTTTTCCTCTATAATTTCTGCGGTTTTCATAGATATTATTGATTTTTAATTTAAAATAAACTATTTACCAGTGGCGGACGCAGGGAGGGGTTTTGGGGGTTCGATCCTCTCCCCCGAAATGAATGAATGATTAATTTCAAACCTTATGTACCTTAAAAAAATGAATTGTTCAAAATACGATTAAAATATGCTAGAAAAAAAATGTTTTGTTAAGAAAAGTGAATTTGTCATAATTTGTAATTTTCCAAACGTTCTAAAAGGTATTGGTACTTAAAACTCAAATTTTTGAAATTCCATGATGGCAATACTTCGTAAAAATAATGCGTGTTTGTAAGTCGTTTATTATCAGTTAGTAAAAATAAGTAAATATACATAATCGATATAATATTATTTATAATGGTACATCATGTACTATTTCCCTAAATTTTGTGTTGTATGGTCATATGATAACAATCGACAATAGCCAATTTATAGTCAATAGTCGATTATTTAAAAATAACGGTAATCAGGCCCGTATTTAGAGGGGCACGGGTAGGCACATGTCCGGGGGCGTCAAATCTTAGGGGCTGCAAAATATTTTAGCAAAATTAATTTTCAAAATGATGTACCTAATGAAAAAAATAAAATAAAACAATAAAAAAATAACATAGTATATTTTATTATGTTATAGTTTGTTTAATTTGTTAGTTAAAAAAAATATTAAACGATTTTTATTTACAAGTTATATTTTAATATTAAAAAATCTCGATTATGAACGAAATAATAAGTGTTATATTATTATTATTTGTTTATTTATTTATTTTTTTTTTTTTTGAGGGGTTATAAATTATATGCCTGGGGCGCCAAATTTTTAAATACGGGCCTGGCGGTAATTAATCTTATTTTTTCCAACCCCTCCCCCCCGACATTTTTTACTGCGTCCACCCCTGCTATTTACCATTCACTAAATAAATTATATTTGAACTGAATATTAATTTATGTTGAGCTGTCGTAAGTATAACACATAATTATTTATCAATCGACGTATTATTCCTGAATCATTTAATTTTAGAGCGCTGAAAAGACGAAAGTTATGGCCTACATTGTCCTCGTTGCAGTTCGACGATGTGTGTTGTGGATCACCGGTTCCTAAAAACTTAATAGATAAGGTATTTATAAATATATTTTTTTTGAAATCCATTTAAAATGTCATGGTCATAATCTTAATTATATTTCTTGAAACTCCACGTGCACAGGAATCTATAGACAGTTCGACACGATTAAAAGGTTGCTGTGTATTTCCTGGACGGGTAAAAAACCGGGCATGTGTATTAGAGCACATCGAAGACACACGTTGTCTACGATCAGGAGACATTTTAATCGTAAAATCTGTTGACATAGCTTGGTCACCATATTTTCCAATTATTTCCGGTTTGGTCACGGAGATCGGTGGTATAATATCTCACGGTGATGACTTATTTATTTTTGACAAATAGACACAATTAATTTATATATATAATATTATATAGGTGCTGTTGTCGCTAGAGAATACGGTTTACCTTGTCTCGTCGGAGTGCAAAATGCCAAAAAATATTTCAAATCTGGTAAAATAAACGAACAAAATTATATTGACGTTAGAAATTAGAAAATTAGTAATTAAAATTACTTCTTTTGATTTCAGGTGATATGGTAATTTTAGACTCTGAAAAAGGTTTCATTATTAAAGATAACATGACGAATTGATCAGATTTATCACAATAATATATATTTATATCAAATTTTTAAGTAAAATATAAAATAAATTGAGAACAATACAAAAAGCGAAAAGTATATAAGATTATAAATAATAATTATTACTAATTAAATATATACATGAAAAAATCAAATAATTAACCAAAATACATGAACACGGTACATTATCTGTATAATACTGATTTACGTTTTCAAGTTTTTTGTTATCCAATTCATAAAACTTGTTACTCTGGTGTATACTCCTGGATACTGGCCTTTTCCACAACCTATTCCCCAACTGACAATTCCTACTTGGGTCCATTTACCGTCGTTAAGCATCAAAGGACCTCCGCTATCACCCTGTTTTAATAGAAACATAATAATTTTTATTTATTGAAAAAAAAAACTATAATCGCACGTTATATTATATAGTCGTATATCGAAAATAAGTCCCGGATAAAATTGTATATACTTATTGGGTGAAAATAAAAATATAGAATTCATATTCGTATTTTACTCTCGTTGGTCACATCACATTTACTTGATTATATTTTCTCACCTAAGACCCATTGCAGTATGTCATTGAGGTCACATAACTAATTTATTTATAGTAAATTAAATATCAAATTGCGATGCATTACGGGTTTTCTTTTGTTTATACTCACGCTGCACGAGTCTCTGGCCGCTTTTCCAGCGCATAAGAAATGGTCTACAATTCCACCTGGAGCTGCGGCTCCATACTTATACTTGCACTCTTGATTTGTCCATACCGGTACATTAACTTTTTGCAAAACCGCTGGTTGTGGGCCACCTTAAAACAGAAAAGGGATCCGTTGATATCATAGACCGTTTTAACTGTAAGCTCTTGAATAAATTACTCTCTCTCAAGCTGCCCCAACCAATGACAGTGGCAGTTTGTCCGGCGTACATAGATCTACCTATCGGCAAACATATCGGATGCACTTGTTTGGAGAACTTCACGGGTTTGTCCAAAGTCAAGAGCGCGATGTCATTATACTATAATCATTGGACCATTAAAAAAACCCTAAGTATTATTGAACTTATTATGCACAGCATTGTCACTAACCAGAGTTCTTTGATCGAAACCTTTGTGCCGGACTACTCTTTTGATTTTCCTTTCCAAATGTTTTGTATCTGACTTGCTTTTGATATTATAATCTCCCAAATTTGCGGTCAAACGGGCCACGTCCCACGAACTCATACTGCAAATAAATGTAATTAAATGATTTAAAAAATGTAATCGACGAAATCTGGTGTTTTTTTTTTACACTCACTGAGCAACGCAATGAGCAGCAGTTAACACGTGCGTGTCGTCGATCAGAGATCCTCCGCAAAAATGTCTACCTGCATTAAATATAGCCACCTAAAATGTTACATATTTTTTTTAATTATGATAATAATTGTGAACACAAATTATAACATAAAGCTAATAAAAAAAAAAAAAAAAATTCACAACTCGTCATTGTCGTGACACCACGTTACTCATCGTACAGATATTTTTGAGAACTCCTTAACAAACCATTGTTACTGCTGATCTTTATCTTATTCTTGAATTAACACTAAATATTATCAGTATGTACGAATTACTATCCCAGCCATCGATCGGATTTGACCGTCAAAGACTATCTACTGTTGGACAATAAGATTGAACGTACAACAAAAGATAAAATTACAATGTGAAACAATCGGTTTCACTATATTGGAACATATACAATTTTACGACCATGTAGTATGTACTCGTATGTATAAATAAATGATATCTTTACTATACTATAAAGCAGGGGTAGCTAACATGAATAGGTTCACGAGCCATACAGATAAATATAATAATTCCAAGAGTCAAATACAAGAAAAATAAAAATAAATTTTAAGTAATTTGATAATATTTTATAAATTTAAACCTATAAAATTAAAATTCAAAATAATAATATGATAAGTAAATTTTAATTAATAAAGCGCGAGCTGCATCTAACAATGACAAGAGCCACACGTGGCTCGCGAGCCACAAATTGGCCATCCCTGCTATATAGTATATAGACTGTACTATAATGTGCAATGAGCATCGGAAAATTAAATTATAAATTTAGATATCTACTATCTACTTCAGACGATTGACCTCGTTTCACCAATTTCCTTAGATTATAAGTCAATATTATATATGTCGCATCCACTTAATGAAATCGCTCATTCCATGAAGTGAACATCCACTTCATGAAATGTATCCATTTAGTGAAAATGACTTTTTATTACACTATATGAACAATTGTTTGACCTTTTCATGTAGTGGATGAAATTAATTTTATCAACATTGTGTAAAATTATTATTAAATACTATTATTTTTGGTATTGGGTAATAATATAATATAATACAGCCTTAATGAAAGTTAAATTATACATTTTCTTAAACTTTATTTTTTATTTTATTATTTATTTTTACATGGTTACATGGTTAAGAGTTATGGCAACATAAAAATATAATAAAATCGTGAAATTAAAAAAGTATAAAAAGCAAAAATCGAACATATGTGCAAAAAATATGTAAAATTAAATTGATAAATTTGAATTCTTTGAGGATGAAACAAATTTTTATCTTACTCTGCATTAATATAGATGTTATTAAAAATATGATAAATGCATTAACATCCGCTCTTTAGTCATGAAACAAATTCGCACTGTAGTCATTATACATTTTAAGTTTAATTTGTATTATTATTCTCAGTAACTTTTTATTATTTTTTTTATTTAATTTGTATTATTATTCTCAGTAACTTTTTATTATTGTTATTTATTTATTTAGTTAAATTCTTACGTTTTAGTTTTAGCATCTTCTATCTCCGTGATAATTTTTATTTGTTCTTCTTGATTTAAAGGTCTTTTCTTCGACTTCGTAATATGATATTCTTGTAATTTCTCATAAAATAATATAGTTTCCATTATACATAAAATAATGTGTTTAACTTTACTAGTTAACAACTACTAACAACTGGTATAAGACAAACTTACAGAGTATTGTCAACGGGATCATACACTATCTGTACATGACTGTGTATCTATACAATCATTTTGATATCTTATCTTTTCATTACCTGATAGACTGACGAACTAGTTTATACAATGTTCAAGTTACGATTTATATCAAGCAACTTTTTTTTATATTCATTTTATACACAATTACCTAGTGCAAATCGTACAATTACTTAATACTAAAAGTACTCGTATCTTATAATAATTTTACACAATGTGGATAAAATGAATTTCATTCACTTCATGAAAAGGTCAAAAAATTGTCCATACAGTGTAATAAAAAGTCATTTTCACTAAATGGAAACATTTCATAAAGTGGATGTCCACTTCATGAAATGAGCGACTTCATTAAGTGGATGCGACATACATATTTTATCGTGATATTTTCGGACCATTTTATTAAAATATTATGTTTATCGTAGTGCGTATACTTATTTATATTATTATTTATCACAAATTGATGCCACTGATATTACTGTATTTTATACTTACGATCCATGGCCATTCTCCAGGGTCCGCGTTTTGACCACCGACAATCCTCTCTTGATCCTGAGGACCGTTCTTCAAGCCACACTGAGATCCATATCCGTCGTCTTCGTTGTTCACGTTAGTTGGCTTATTGGTAGTGGAGGTGATAGTCATTGTGGTTGAGGTGGTGGTGTTGAAGTTTTGTTGTGGCGGCCACGGCGGTATAGTCGGTGGTTTCATCGGAGGTTTTGCTGAAGACGGTGGCATCGGCTTATAAGTGGGTGCTAATGTTGTGGACGGCGGGTGAGTTGGTACTGGTGGTATAGTATGATCCGGAGGGTGTGTCGGTAACGGTGGTGGCCAATTCGGCGGCACAGCCATGGCCGGCGGCTGTGGAGGTCTTCCGTCCTCTTTGTGACTTTCGCCAATGATACTTGGGTGATCGCAACACACGCCGAACACCTAAATGACAATGGATTATATATCTATGGTACTACTGTTTTGAGGATGGTGGCGATTTTTTTCAAAATAAATTTGATATTTTAACTGCGGAAAAATGTAATTTTGAAAACTGTTATTAATGTTAATTTAGTGCAAGGTAATTTATATTTTTTTATTTTACAATACGGGACGAACCCCTTTGTTATGAATATAATAATAATACAAAGTAATATCTAATATGTAATAATATACAATAGTGAAATTTTTAAGGAAACAAGGCTCAAATTTAGAAGGAGAAAGAAGGGTCAATATTAGTGCTCTTATGCTCATAAGACAGATGATCGGAAAGTTGCAATAGTAGTTTAAATAATTTAATGTTTATTAGAAAAATTATAGGAAATTAACGTTAATATTTTTAACCAAAAAATCGGAAATACTCGTAAAAATATACTGTGTGTGTATGTATTGACAACAAAGTCAAATTATTATTACTGTTTTTCTAAAAAAAAAAAACCAAAACGAGCAAAGTGCATTTCATTGTGTTTTTAATTTGAATTGGTATAACATGTGGAGAAAAATAGTGTTGATAATAACGTCCTGCTTAATGTCTATACCAGCGATTCTCAAACTGTGAGATGCGTCTCCCCCTTGTATATTACACTATCATATATTTATTTTTCGATCGACATAAACTTACTTATATTTAAATAATAAGAAATATTTTATTAGGAGGCCTGATTATTTTTTTTTTGTTTTGGGGATACGTAATCCAAAAAAATTTGGAAACTGCTGGTCTATATCATTATCGAAATGATCAATGAAAATGAAATTGATGGGTCGTTTTCCGTTTCCCAGTTGATGTACTAAGATTTAACATGATATAATGTTCATCAACATGACTTTACCTGTCTGTGGTCATGACTTATATACGTGCACGTGTCGTACATGCCCATTACCCACGAGTCCCATGTTTGATAATCAGAAAATTTGATGTACGGATAACATAATCGGAAGCTCGTACACTTGCCCAGTGTGCCTCTGCTCGTTAGACACGGACCCGACACCATCGACCACGAATTCTGTCTTTTCGTCCTCCTTGTCCTGAAGGCATCAATGTTACTACCGCTCGTAGGACTGTTGTTGTTAAGGTTGAGTGTCTGATCCACTGGATACGCTAACAACAATTAAAACAATGTTATCGGTAACAAAATCTGTGTTAGGTTATCGATATCGAACTACCACATCGACAGTTATAAATGTGCATTACGACATCGAAAACGTATAAATATAAAATAGATATAAATAAAATAATTTTATGTTTAATATATACACCTTATAGTTAACATAAAAATGCTGGTGAGTATACCTAACACAAATCGTCCTAACTGAATCGTCGTTATTTTATCACGAACACTAATCAATAATAATAATAATAATAATAGTATAATAATGTATGTTTGATGTATAAGACGTTTGGCAAAACTATAGAGTTACATGCGGATGAACGAAAAAAAAACGGTCTCGATGACATTGAATAATATGATATTTTAAAAAATGATCGTCTGCGCACTTTGTGTTATCGAGACCGGTTCGAGGCGTATATATATATATATATATATATATAAACTTAGCTATCTGGTGACGTGCAATAAAAAGCCTTTACGTGACGCTACTTTGTTCGTAATGTATTTAGAAGAAAAAATCATATTTTAATATATTGAACGTGGCGGTAATATAATATTTTATAATTTCAATTCTAATTCCATTAAAAAACGAGGTAAGATAAATAGAAAACCATCGTATACATGCATATGTTTACTCACAACCTATTGGATATCTCGATTAAAATAACCACAATGTACGGAGAGTTTGACATTTTGCATTATGTAAATGTAAAACTTTTCTTATTTTTTCCGTCGTTTGACAAAAATCATATATTGCACACATTAAATTTAAAGAGGGGAATAAACCTTACACCCTGTCACTTCGAATGAGAATAATGCTATGTTTATGTACTTATATGCTCTGCACTCACATGTGTATTACCCGTCATGTATTCAATATATTTTGAAATTTTATTTATTATTTATATACAAGACAAATTTGTTGTTATAAATGTATAAACAATTTTCCCTAGAACGTAAGACGATCTCTGTCCGTGTGTGATTTCTCCATGATTCATTCGTGAAATTAATTAACGATGATTATATGGGTGTAATAGTGCCGGGCAATAACCCAGTTCGATTAATCATGCGAAAACGGACCACCGTAGCGCCACGCAATTTAATTAAAATGAGAAAACGCCTCTGGTGTAAAATATTATACACCTTTATTTTATGCAACAAATATATGTGTACACTGTATATATAATAAACATAAGTTATACGTATACACGTGTTATATTGTACGCCTATATCATATTATTTGAGTGTACGAATTCATTATTTTTTTTTCGCTCAAGTTGCATTTTCCGTGTTGAATAATTAGCTGTACCGTGTAATATATAATTAATGTATTATAAATAAATACATGTATAACATGATGTAGGTACAGCTTGACACGGGATGCTACCAGAATGTTATAAACAAAATATTCGTCTTTCGGTTATAATTCTGCGAAACCGCTCACACCGGAATACCAGCCACACTTTGATCTTATTTCATGGTGTCTAAGCGTCCATTACCATATAATAAAATGTATTAAATCAAGTTCTTTTTAAACAATAATAGTGTATTCGTGAATTACTATCAGTTTTCGAAAAAAAATTAAATATTATAAATTATTGAGGTACGAGTAAAATAAAATTGTTTGATTGACAATAGGTTTGTTCCAACGCGGTCAAACTATCATAGAACTGGTGGGAGCATGCGCAGTATATTTTTCGCGTTCCAACACACCCTAAACGCAAACTCAAACTCAAACGCTTGTTCCACACGTCATTAGACCAGTTTAAGGATTGGTTGTAGACTATCAAAACAGTCCGCTGATTCCGACGGGGACTAATAGTCAGAGAAACTGTTATCACATTTATTACTCATATTATCAATTTTTCGCGTTTGAATTTTCATGTAACGTTTATCAATAATTTTTTTGTTTCACGACATAAACTATATATAGTCAGAGATGGAACTAGGAATTTTTACGTCCGGGTAAAATGTTAAAATTACGCCCTGTCCATAGACTAATAAACAAATACTCAAATAAATTGTGTTCTTATAATCTATATACAATCGTACTTATTGAGTTTTAACCTAATTATAGTATTAAACGAAGTAAAAAATATCAAATTAGTTGATAATAATTACGAAAATTACACCCTCTAAAATGTTATGCCCGGGGATGAATCCCTGTCTTCCACCCCGTAGTTCCGGCCCTGTATATAGTATACAATAAATATACTATTATAATATAAATATATTATAAATACAATATATATATACAAATACATATTATTAACGTTTATACTATGTATCTAAAAAATTTAAAATGGAAGATATGTATATATTATGAACTTTTTTTATTTAAATCGCAATTTAATTTTACTAATTTATTATCAATCTCATATCTTATAGTTGAAAATCCGAAAAGCGTTCCAACAGAGCTCAGAGTCCGTGATCAATCCTAATGAACGCATGCGCAGTAAATCAATCACGGACTAGTCAGCAACTAATCCCAAATTCCGTGTAGGAACAAACTTAATATCAACTCAGTTTTGTCGAATTCGTTTACAATAAAAAATACGAGACATTTTGAAGAATAATAAGTACTTAATTACAGTTTATCCGCCTATGGTTAATATACATCTCTATTTTACAATATATTTACTTCCGGCAGGGCAGACAGAAATAATGATCTTATTGTGTATATACCTACACACCACCCATTTGAGATTGTTTTGATGACTTATGTTATCAGATGATTTTAGATATAATGGACTAAAGAGCCATTTTTTTGAAAATATTTCCTTCACAAATACGTTTAAACTAACGTTATATTGGTCGAACGTCTACTGTATGGATTTTTTTACTTCAGGTACGAAGATTGTAAAAAATTGGTAATAAAAAATAGGTTAACAACGTTTCATAATTAAAAATTTAATACGATTTTTAAAGCTAACCTGGGATCTACCATATAACCTATAATACTTGTTTATAAAATTCACTTTTGTTCCGGTTCTCGATGTACTATGTACACACAACGCATATATACACACACACACACACACACACACACACACACATACACATAATAGATGTTCCCGAATAAAACCAATTACATTTCTACCAAAATGCCCACACACTCCGTGGGTCACATCTAAACTCATAAATTTTCATGCCTTTTCTTAATGTATTTTTAACAATATTTCCGTATATTATGTTTTTTATTTCTCAGCTGCAGAAGTTAATATGTATAAATATATAAACATTCAACTCTTGGACTCTGTCACTTTGTGTTTTTTTTTACACTTTAAATATTTACCAAACTGGTCATTCGCAATAATATTATACTACCTATATCAAAAGTTGAACAGTCGACGTGGGTCATTATACTCTATAGTACACACCATACACAACCACATGATACCGTCCACATGCTCTGTTTCTAGAGGGGATGTTATGCACATATATTATAAATACAAGTATATAAATAAATTTATGTTTTCGTATTTATTTATTCGATTTTGTTGGTTATTTCACTGCGCAAAATAAAAATTACGAATAATCACAGCATATAATCCGCAAAAACAACTCCCAGACATCTTTGTACTCAATACACGAATAAAATGAAAACGGTTAATTTGGAGAAAAAAATCACGTGGATTTTCGGTGGGGTACATGGAAGATTGTCAAGCAAGTATAGTAATACATAGTATTTATAAAAAGGTAATATACATATTTATCATGTTTTCTCCAAATTCTATGTCACCGTTTTAATGGTTAAAATGTAAAAACGTAAAAACGTAAAATAGTAACGTCGTTTTTTAATATTTTTTTTATTAATATAGAAAAAACATAGTCAAACAATAACCATATAATATGATACAATATACACACTACATAATTACATACACATACTATATACACACAATATTACTCACTTATTGTATGAGGTTATTAAATTAAAAATTAAAATGTGCTCCGAGTTTTATTTAATTTTAATAAGCAATATTTTCACGATAAATACAGTATTAGATCAACTATCCAAACAGTGTATTATATATGAAGCATTGTATTTAGTATATTTTATAATATAAGAGATAATATTTTATTTTGTAAGCTATGAAATATGTTTTATAGAAACTATTATTAATAAGTTTAGACTTAATAGATATAGCTACGTGATATTAAAAATAAATCTTTCCACGAACATGAATGCGATTGACTCTAGTTAGATTGACTATTATCAATGTTATTTATATTATATACGACTACTCGATTCAAGCCATAGCCGTATGACAATGTGAATTTTTATCCAATGATTGCGTATTTGATTTATAAAATTATTTATGTTGACCATATCATATATTACATACATATATTTAAATGTCTATACATATAAAGTTGAAGGCTACGCGAGTGGTGGTCGGTAGACATTACAATGTGTGTATTATTGTGTATCTACGTAGGCGACTGTGTCCACACCTTCGATTTTGCACATTTATTTTATTTCGGATGGTGTTTGTTCAATTAGCGTACCTATATAGCCAAAAACATATGCAAGAAAATCGTCTTTGGTTTGAGTAATTTTCTGCGTTTATTTTCTTTTCTATGTACATGAAGGATATTAACTAAAACACACAATCCACCGGTTCGACAAACAAAGAATTCTTTTAGACGAGTCATATTTCAGGTTTACTATATCTGATCATTACGGCCTGACATTAGCTTCCATCTCAAATAAATAATTTTAATTTCTGCTCATTTTATCACAGTGATCTGATGACAAAGAACCGTATGAAAAAGCAAACTAAATATGCATGATACCATCCGTTCGCAAATATTTATTTTGAACACAAACTATTATACTTTCCATATATATGGGTACGTATAGATACACCTACCTACTGCTTATATAATAAAGCAATTCTTATATTTTACTACTATAGTGTCTAGTTCTATGAATCGCTAATATTAACAGTATACGCAAATAAATAGCTAATACATACCGGGATATCTATACTACTCAATTTATATTCAAATAAAAAAAACATTTAAAACTTGAGTATTAAAAATTCTCGATCTTATTGATATTTTGGCAACATTTTATATTCGAAATGAATACTTATTATTTTTGTCTAGTGTCAAGACGACCATCAAATCTACATACATGTACTTATTTAACCGTCACTCCATCACCTACATATTTACAAGTTAAAATCTAATGACACTGAAAGTTATACAGTGATTACCTTGTTTTTCGTCAAAAAAATAAAAATTATTAAAACGGAAATCTATCGAAAACAGAAGTAGCAGTAATTAGTTCATTATAATTTAATCTATATTTTCCCCATTTTAACAGAAACATGTGTAATTAGTATAAAAAAGTATTATAATTTTATTTTCTTCGAAAGGAAAATTGGAATAAATGAAATTGATGAACTATATGCATTGGCCAAATTCGGAGAACATTTCAGATTTGACGATAATAACCTGCCATAATGTAATTTATATACTTTTTATATATTTATAAAAACGTATTTAAATAATTTTTGTTGAAACCAATGTATGTATACGAACTTTTATATTTTTATACCTACTATTAAATTCGATTGTAAAGTAATTGTTGAATTTGATAAGTATAATGACACCATAGGACCTGTTGAACAAGCAATCCGATTTATATTTTTTTCGAAATAAAAGTTGTTTTATTAAAGAACTGAAATGTTCTTTATGTCAATCTGACACGCTTATTATATGTATGACTATGGGTCATTGCTAAACTTAACAATTTTAATTAAAAAACTAGCTCGTTATAATACTTACCTAACATGAAAGTAATAATGAGTATCATTACAACAAAACATATTAACCGGCTAACTTTTTGAAATATTCAACAAATACGATTGAATTATAACTATTGAATAGTATATTGTTAATCATTCAGTTATGATATCTAATAATAACATAATAATTTTAACGAGTTATAAACTGGTGTCTACTGGTATCTGTTAAAATTTTAAACAAACTATTTGTTACAAATAAAATACTATATTTTTTATTATTTACAATTAAAAGATATGTGACTTATAAGAAAAACTTGGTTTAAATAATTCATATTTTTGAATAATATTTTATCAATATTTTCATATTCTGGAAATAATAAGAATCAAGAAAATAAACTTAATCATACATTTTAAATTATTAAATTGATCATTATTCAAATAAAGAAGGCACATAGAGAGTTTTCCGACTATTTTTTCAAACACTCGTATTGTAACAACTGTCATAAAATAAAAATATTTCGTACGTATTCATTCGGTGTGCCGTCAATAGTTTACTTCGAAACGTTGAGTGGAATAATAATATTATATAGTGTGTGTTCGTGTGCGAGTGTGTGGTATGTATAAATAGATACACGAGTTTTAATTCGTACAAAGTACATGGAGGAATGTTGAGTAATGGATTTAACCTATCCGGCCGGAGATGTCTGATGGATGGCTGTAATTTTACGTAATAAACAGGTTATACATTTGTTCTTACATATTAATCCCGAGGCAAAAGAACAATCTAAATTCGATGTAAAAATTCAATTTTAAAATTTATTTAAAAAAAAAATTATTAAATGGCTTGACGTATTTTTAAAGTATAATTTAAAATCCGATGAATACTTAGGAGGAAAAATTGTTTTGAAAATCTCAATCAAATTGATCCTTACATAAATGTATGGATAATAACCAGTATATATTTTATAACATTTTACCAAATGTATAGCGTACCTTAAAAATGTCATATGTTACTTCACTGTGTTCGTCATATTGATAATTTCAAAAATTATCAACATGACGAACACAGTGAAGTGACCGTTATTGTTCAACCATCCATGCACACTTTTCTTACAGATCGAGTAATAGGTAGGTAATAATATTCTATAATTTATTAATTTTTTTCGACTCTAAGTCACCAAAAACGATATAATTGTAGTGCCCCTGAGTCACACAATGTGAACGAACTCATTTCTATTTTTAATTTACTTTTCATTAATATGTATTTTTTTAAAAAAAAAATATGTAATCGTATATTGTTTAATATTCATGTATTTGAAAATTTTGTGAAAGTATCTTAAGGATGGTAGTGACTCGTGTGGGACAGTTCTAATTAATTTGTTAATTTTTATTTACATAAAACAAACAGCATTTGCGTGCGCATACACACTTAAACGCGTAAAAATTACCAAACTTAATGTTATGCATATCATTAAATCTGTACACGTATCACAATATTTAATATAGTTTATGCGCCCACGTATTTTGATAGTAAATTGAATAGAAATTATTGATATACAGAATCGATTAGCTGTTATTTAATTTTCGCAAGCAAATCCGTTAAATAAATATATTGTAATCATAAGTAAACAAACGAATACTTTTTGCACCGCCTCCGCCTCCGCCTTCATTGCTGTCATTGAACCTGTGTCTCATTGGCCGGCGACCTTGACGCAGGACAACGTGTTCGCATCGGCCGAGTAAGTCATTTAATATAGTAATTTTCGATTAGGTTTTTTTACATTTATCACATCACTAGCCCTCATTTTAAATAAATTCATATTTACATTTTTATATTCAATCTACTCATTCCACGTCCAAATTTGTAAAAAAAAAATATCCAATTGTAGTAGACTTGAATGGATAACTGCTGTTTTTTTTTACTCAGATAACCACCTATCGTGATAAAATATACATGAAATGAACATTTATGTACAATACATATTATGATTTCTTTATTGAAATAGTAAAACACAACCGTTTTTAATTGCTAAATATTTAATAAAGTTATAACTACTAAATGTTGTTTTTTAACACTTAAAATAAAACACTATACAATTGGGTAATTATATATGTACAGAACCTTAACACCTCAGACGAGTTCAAATCTGAAATTTTACTTGGAACGTATCTGCTCTCAATATTTATATCAAACATATTCAATTTAATACACTTATTTTCAATAAATTATTTTTTGTTGATTTAAATAAATTTGAATAAAATTATGAGATAAATTAATTCACTTTACTAAAACATTTACATATTAAATGCTTTATGACGTTTTTGGGATTACTTGGAATATAATGATTCATTTATTCAAATAATTATGTATTTTTTTTTTAAAGCAAGTATTAATTATATAATTTTTGATTTTGTATCACAATGTAATGTATATTTTATACACATTCAATTATTAAAAATGTTCTTCATTATACATTATTGTATTAAAATTTCAAAACAACATGGTTACAACAAACATTTTTACTTCAACTATTTTTCTAAGTACTTATTAAATTATGTAAATAATAAAATAAAAATATGCCCTATTTTAGTTACATTTTAATTAATTATAATAAATAATATGTCATTTTGCAAAATAAAATTATTAAAATATAGAACGTTGTTATGATAGAATAAAAAAACAACTATTCAAACATGAGCCGTTTTTTTAATGTGAATTAATTTAAAAATATATTTATAGCGTAGAAAACATATTTAAATTAAATTTGATATGAATTAATTTGTAATAAACATTATATAAATTGATATGATGACATTTTTTGTATAAATAAAACCGAGTATAATTACATCTGTCTTCGTGTCCAACAAAGAGTTGTCTTGACTAAATTAAAATTTGGAAATTAATTTGCGAAAATCGCTTTAAATTTGCCTCTGGTTACAAATTCGCATATAAAAGTATGCGTTCTAATGAAACGAAAAAACGAACCTATAAAAAAAACTCTAAACCAGTTTTGAAATAGTTACGAATAAATATAAATAAAAATATACATAATATTATGATGTGGAAAATGTAAATTAAAATTACAATACATATAAATAAAGCGTTTCAAAGTCGTATGTATGAAGTAAAAAAAAATTATGTATAGCTAGGTAACCAACAAAGAAATAAGCGAATAAGGCAATAACACCTGTAGTCGAAAAAGGGAATTAATTGTGATGAGTATTAACTGATTGAACGTGTCCAATCGAGCGACTTGTCGCCATCCCTTACCTTCTATTATGACCGCGTCGTCCGTGTATGTCTCCCGATACGCCGTGTTCAGGGCTGCTGCCGAAGCGACGACCAGGGACAACATTGTGAGCATCGTGAGCGGCGGCCGATCAGGCCCGGGGGACTTCATCGTTTCGTTATTTTCGCAATAAGCTCCTCTCGGTCTCCAGTTGGTCCTTCAGCCTTCGTTCGTTCGTTCGTTTCACAGGCGGAGGGATCGTCGTTCGAACCGAAACGATTACTGTTGTAATAAATATGATGCGTAACGGCGGCAAGCGCGAGACTGTCTCGTCGGACAACAATTACGTTTCGCACCGCAACCGGCTGTGGTGCCGGTAATCAGTGCAACTGGCCGTTGGTCACCAGACGCGCTCGCCATTTATTGAAAATCTCGTCCGCGCGCTTGAGGTCGCGGCTTCTCCTACAACTACTGTCTACTGTCTACTATTACTACTAATTCTACTACTACTATAATGTTACGTTCAACTTGTGCACGTGCGCTTACCGTGGTGCCGTCTCTCTACGATCCTCGTTTCAGTGCCGTTTTAACGTCAAACTTAAGGCACACCGAGCTAGAAGAAATGTGGTTCCGGTTGTAAAATATATTAACTGGAATATGGTAATATTATTGCATGAGTCATAGGTGTGTCCACGGGTCATGCCTCTCGTGCATTGCATGACACGATTTGCAAAATTTGACTTTAATCGTTATTAACAATTAACAATTAATTAACAATTAATGCTACTTTAAAGTTATGATTCCAGAAAAATGACGTTGATAACTATAATAAAGATAAAGAAAATTTATGATTATATTTGTATACGTATTACAAGATAATAATGATTTTTTTCATAATTTGAAGATCGTATTTTCTTTTCCTTTTGGTTACCCAGTATTGCATTTACATATATCTTGTGCACTACCTGCTAAAAAGGCCTGGACACATTTACTGTGCGACTTTTATTTCAATTTGAGGTTATACTATATATCATCATTTGATTTATCCAGTGGCGCAACAAGGATTTGGAGGGGGGTTGTGAATTTGAAAAAATTAAGCATTTTCTGTAGGTGTTTGGTGAAGATAAGGAAGTAAGATTAAGTTAGGTATATGAGTAAAATATTTAAATTACAAATTAAACTGTTAAATTACTATTTAGTATTGTAATACCACAAAAAAAAGTATTATACAATCCACTATCGAGAATGCGTTGTAGCAAGGTTATTGATATTTTAAAGTTGAACGGAACATTACAAAACTTTCCATATCGTCATTTTATTATTGTTATCAATTTCAATACGAATAATATTCATATTATTCACTCGTTTCGCGTATTCAAAAGAAGTTCTTCAAGTATACAAATTATTTTTTTTTTTCAAAAATTAAAAATTAAATATTATAACTTCATATTTTACATAATTTTATGTCATTCATAGAATCGAATTAACAGCTTAACATTGTTGGCCGTCCATCAGGGCCGGATTTATTCATTTAAGCACTAAACAAATTGCCGCCTTTTAATATAAATATTTTTCTAGTCTAAAAACTGTTATTAAAGCATTCAATTATAGTTGTCTCCTTTATTACGAGTACTTACAATTTTAATGGTGTAAAATAAAAACTTGCAGCTGTTAAAAAATATATTCATATGAAAAACTTCATTATAAAAATATGATATAAAATCTAAAGATAAAAAACATCGTCGTAAAAAATGCTTAAATAGTTCATTTTTAACCCTTAACTTGGCAGAAACAAAAATATTGCACTATAATTTCAAACTATTGCTATTTTTAATTATAAAAACCCGTTGAGTTCATTTTTAAAAAATTTACTTTAGTTTTTGAGATATTTTGAGTGGAAATGTGTATCTTTAAAGATACATCACCTAAAAGAAGTTATTTTCAATTTCGTGTCTTTTAAAATACACTACCTTCTAAACGATGTTCGATTTTTATATCTTAATGGATACATCATACTTCATTTTAAATCTAATATCCATTAGTGTACATCACTTTATTATGTATATTCTGAGTTATATTACTAAAAAGATACTAAGTAAAACAATATAATAAAAATTAAAAAAATATTGTTATTATTGCTTTTTAATAGTAAAATTTAAAAAAATTATAATAGTACAGAACAGTTAAGTAAATTTAATATTTTAGTTAACAATATAATTTTAACTTAAATTTAATGCAGGGGTTCCCAACCTTTTCATCGTCGAGTACCATCAGACACTTTTATAATCAATACGCGTACCATCTTAATTCTAAAGCTTAATTAGGAGTCAACAATTTTTTAAAGTATATATTTATTATTCATTAATTTTTATAATATTTTTATATTATATTTATAATATTTTTTTATTTTAAATGTATAAAAGTAAAAAAATCTCAATATTTAATTAAAACTTAATATTTAAATTACAATTATATTTTTAAAATTTAATGTGGTATTTGTTGTTATTTATTTTGTACAAGAACATCAATATCAGGTTGAATAAATAATAATAAAAATAAATTGCTACAATTACAAACCCAATTTCATCGATATTTATAAAATTAGATAATAGCAAATAAATTAAATTAAATAATATTGAATGAAAATAGTAATAAAAATAATTATACCAAAACATTTCTTCACGTACCACCTACGAGCCTTCCGTGTGCCACTAGTGATACGCATACCACGGTTTGGGAACCCCTGATTTAATGTATGTGGTTTTTATATAAAAAAAGGGGATGTGCGGCTTGGTTTCCACTGCTCACCTTTTAATACATTTTAATATCCCACCTGCAATAAATCCTAGAGTATTTTGTTAGTACTATTTAACCTGTTGCTAACCTTTATTGTAATGATACTATTAGAAATACATTTGCTATTTTGAATAATGATTTAGATTCAACAGATCTAAATATGAAATACATAAATTTAATGATCAAAATATAACAGAAGAGAAGTCAAAATACAATTACCAAAATTACTATACTATTTATCTGAGCCCAACGAGTTTAAAAATATTACTATTTTCCTTGCTCGTTTTATAGCTGCGAAACCTCACAACGCTAAAGTTGAACGATAAATAAGTAAAAGCAATATTCTTAAATCAATAAATTGTCAAAGTTTGTATATAGAAACGAAAAATGAGTATAATTTTATTTTTAATATAACTGCTCTTCAAATTAATAAATCAAGACCAGGAATTTAGATATAGTTAAATCAAAATGAACGCCGTATCAGACTTACCTAAAGGCATAGAACAAGAATGATGTAATGGGATTTTATAGGTACAACAAAAATAAAATCTAAAAATAAAGAAGATTGAAATAAAAATAATAAAAATAATTGTATTGTAAAATAAAGTTTACAAAAGAACGTTTAAACATCGTATTATGTAATATTTGGTAGATATTTATGCAATGAAAAAGTAAAGAGGAAATTAATTAAAATAAGATGTTTTTAACAAGAATGTTTATTATTTTATGTCTTCTTAATAGATTAAATTTTAAATTATTCCTCCTATATGCTGAAAATGTTATTATTTTTAACCATAATTTGATATTATATTTTAGTATCATAGTTCTATTTTGATAGGCTTATTTAAATAAAATGCGTGATTGAAAAAAATCCTTGAAATAAGTCGTGAAATAATCGATTAATTCAATAAAAACGCTGATAGAAAACTCTTATCATTTTCAATAAACCTGTTCCTAATTATGAAAAATAAGATGTTTAATAGAGTTGTTTAGTTAGATGAACTTAAATATTTTAAGTACACCACTAAATAAAATAATACTTAACAGTTAATACTTATATTTAATTATTATTTTTTTTATTTAGTTGTAAATGGGCCCTTTAACAAAAGATAGAGAGCATCATAAATAGTTACAAGTCAAGCCTTTTTTATTTAGGTTTTTACATTTTAGTTCGAATGAATAAAACAAATCTTTAGAATGATACATGTTTTATTGTATTAATATTGTGGAAAATACAACATTTTTGCTGTGCTGTGTTTAATAGGGGAATTTAGGTTATTATTAGTATCAACTGTATACCAGTTAGACAGTTACTATATATGTATTATGCCAAGCTGTTTTTACTGTATGCCGCGCTCATGGGCCCCAAGACTTACATTCATTTGGGGGCCCCCTAGTCCCAGCCTGAAATAAACTACACTTTACAAACACTCAATTATTTAATAATAAAAAGAAATTATTTTAAAATTCAGATAAGGTTGTTATATTTTAGAATAATATAATATTTATTTAACAATGAGTCTATTTTGTAGTTGCGGCACTGACTACAAGACAAATGCAAAATTGTCTTTTGGGGATTTGTGATTTTGGGGAAGGGGCTATGTGAAGTTAGCCCCCTCCCTTGAAATATAGTTTGAAATGTGTTGAGTATGTTGAGCTATAAATATAAAACCATTGTTGCAAATAGTTTGACAAGTACGCAGAAAAAAACATACATCATAGTAAAACTAAGACTTTTCTTACTTCGCTTAGAATCTTAAAAAAATAGGTATATACTTATATATGAATATTTATTTAATTACCTTAAGATGATGTAACCTGATGCCACTAATTGATTCAAGGCGAATTTAAAAATTATAATAAATGAATAAGTGTATGTGTTTGTACATACATGTTAAATGTTGATCTATACAAGATATATCACGATTCAACTAGGAATCGGATACAAATGGTTAGGTTAGGTTAATATTAATAGGGTAGATATACCTATATAGTATACATAAATACTATTTAAAATTATTCTTTATATTAGGTTAATATCATTTAGATAAAAATTACTATCCACTAGGTAAATATATAATTTCTTAAGATTTTAGTTATCTACAATGCCAATTTATGTCGTAACATCAGAAAAGAGTTCTTTCACTTTAAGACTGCTCAAGACTTGGTTAAGGACAATAATGGGAGAAAAATGATAATTTAGTATATTTAACTAGTATGTGTGCATGTGACGTGTATAAACTGTATTACTGGGTCAACGGAAAAAAGTACCTGGAAAAAAAGTAACCAGAATTATTTTACGTTTATGAAATAACCCTTACAAAATAATATATTTACTTTATCTAATAGGTATGGGTAGTGTACCATACTTATCTGAATAAACGATTATATGCGTCTATAAAATAACATGATTTATTGATCGATAAAATGTTTTTACGTTATTAATCTATGAATATACGGTTGATTACAAAAATATAAATTCATTTCTTCACCGGCCGTGTTCAGAATGTTTTTATAATTTATTAAACGGAATAAATCAGTGACGTATATAGAAAATATTTTCGGGAAAGGTTACTATGGACAGAGTTAAATTATCACTGCTATCTAAGAATTATTAACAAGACACAGTAGCTACTTATCTACATTTCATTTACAAAATGTCCCAAAACGATTTGACGTTGGACACAAATTCTAAATAAGTATAAAGCACCATTAAAATATAACATACGTTTAAAATAATTTTTAAGTTTTTTAAAACATTTCGAGAATGCTGTAGCCCACTATGCCCCCCCCCCCCCCTATATACGCCACTGGAATCAGTAAACATAATATTACTAGCTGCCAGTGTGCATTTATATCGAAACTCATGCACGAGTTTTTACGTTATTCTATAGTTTAATAATGAGTATTTTTTTTATTCGATTTAATAAAAATTAACGTTATAAAAAATAAAAATAATAAAACATTGAAAACACTTGGAGGTCTTAGATTTCGTTTTCACAAAATGCTAAAAAATTATATTCAGTGTTAGTGTTGCACAATAAAAACGAAATAGTTTTAAAGATCACAATATATCATAAGTCCTAGGTCTGAAAAATGGAAAGAAAACTATTGATTTTGCAAAAAAAAAAAAAGCTTTAGACTTACCTAATTTACGTACATAGTCGTGCGCACGGGATATGCAGGGTATGCGCTTGCATACCCTGCGACCAGACGCTTGGGGTACATGAACGTCATGAAAAATGTCTCACTTCATAATTTAGACTGAGTTATTATAAAATGGTAATGCGCTTATGCGATATTGATATGAAGTATGGACTTGTTTTAAAATTAATTTTGGATGGTTAATGCGTAGTCAGTATATGACTCTTTAACTGAAACAATTAATGAAATTGGGATTTATTGGAAAAATTTGATTGATATTCGCTTTGATGGGGTTGTTACGATGGCTGATAGTTGTAATGGAGTAAAAGTTCAAGTCAAAGGAAATAAACCCAGCATGTATTATGTCCATTGTTTTAGTCATTGCCTCAATCAATCTAGTCTTAGTAAGTTCTTTGGGAAGAAAAAATAATGTAATATTTGATTTTTTTGGTGTTCTGCAAATTATTTATAGTTTAGTTGAAGCTAGTCCAGTGCGTCATACTATTTTAAAACACATTTCAAAAGAAATTAACTTGTAACTTGGAAGTCTTAAAACACTATCTACTACTAGATGGGCTTGTAGATTGGAAGCCATCAACGCCATAAAAAATAACTATTCAGTATTACTACTTTATTTAGAGGAAATTTCAAATGAAACAAATTTATTTGAAGTTTGAGCCAAAGATAAAGGTGACATTTTTTAAATGGAAACTTTTGATTTTATTTTTCTATACATATATTAACCCCAGTTTTAATTATGATCCAAAAAGTGATTGCCAGTTTACAATCATTAAACTTAGATTTGTTATCTGCAGTATCTCTAGTGAAGTATCTTAGAGAACACCTCATTAAATTGTTATTTACAATGAAGTTTTAAGTGTTTGTCAAAAAAATCTTATCTCTATACCTGAAATTAAAGAGAAAATTTACCAGAAAAATTGGTGACAATTCTACACACTATACTATTGATAGTAAAATTAAAAAAATGAGAAATTTTACTTTTTATTTTAGATGAAATGATTCGAGGAATTGTTGAACGTTTTTCACAAGAAACATTGAATTTAATTGCATCTACGGGGAAAATGTTAAGACTTCAAACAGATGATGTAGATATTCAAATATTGTCAGAAGCATTGAATTTAAAAAATATTCATGCAGAAATTAAACTACTTATAAATTTACCAAAATTAAAATCTATATGCGCTTCATCTAACATTAACATTTCAAAATGGTTAGATTGGTTAGTAGATAGAGGATGTTCAGAATTTTTTTTAGATTTTTATAAATCCATAAAATTGTTAGTTACCATTCCCCTTACAAGTTGCTCTTATGAAAGAGCATTTTAAAAATTGACTATTGTTAAATCAAAGTTAAGATAACTCAAAAGCGCCTGGATGCATTAATGTTGATATTCATAGAACAACACATTTTTACTGAAATTGACATAGAGGATGTAATTGAAGAATTTAAAGTTCTTATGCCAGGAAAGAGAAAGCTTGAATTATAACAATTATGCTTAATGTAAATTTGCATTTAAATAAAAATGTTTATTAAATAATGCTTCTCATTAATAAAAAAAAAAAATAAAAATACCTTTAATCAAAAAAAAGTAAAAAACTTATTTTTTCTTATATAAAGTAGTAACCGTAAGTTAATAATACAATGGTATGCACATTAATTATAGGAGCATTTATATATATAGTATATGTGGCGAAGGGGGCACATTTTATCAGCCACATATCCTGCAAACAAATTTTGCGCACGCCTATGTTTACGTATGAATAAAAAATATTTAGGTAGGCATGTGAAAAAAAATATACCTATGCTATAATTTACAGCGACCCTAATTTAAAGCCAAACCAATAATTATTATTTTATAATGGACATAAATTTAAGTGATAAGTTTAAATTAAATTCAAACGTCATATTTTGATATTAAATGCATACTGTCAGGGCCGGCTCTAGATACGATCGACGTGTGCGACGGCATAGGGCGCCATTATTAGAAGGGCACGTGTAAGGCGTCAAAATTAGAATTAAATTTGATCAATCATTGGTGACACAAATAATCTTCTATAAATAAAAAATAAAAATAAATTTACGATGTGGTTCAATATAAATTTGATTTCTATTATAATTATCATTATTTATTGCATGCAAGGACATGCAAGAAATGCCGCTCTTGTAGTTACAATTACAGTTTTATAAACTATCATTATGCTATTACAAGTATTATTATGTTTGTTTTCTGAATTATTTACAAATATGTAGCAAATATGCACGTTTGAAAAATTATTTTGAGCATTTATGAACGAGGCTTAGGTTATAATATGTATAATGAAGCCTCTCCAGTTACCAAAATTCTGCCTGTTTAAGATAGAGAATTGCCCGAATAATTCTTGCACTGAGCACTGAAACAGCTAAAGCAGGCCCTGCATACATTGCATTACATTAGGTACTATTATTAAACCTTTATAAGTAATGGTTTTAAATTGGAAAGACATTGTATAATAAGGGATAAAAAGTGATAACAAAAAAATGTTTTAAGTATTATTCCACAACCTTTACCTTTTAAATTACATAATTGTAATTTGCGTCAAGTTATGTCGACATAACTCGGATCCGTAAATAGCATATTAGTGTTGCTTTAAACATTTTGTTTGTTTAACAATAATTGTTGTTTCATTTCAATCGGCAATAAAGATACTCCAATCGTGTGCAATGTTTTGTTCTTATGCTTAAGGAAAAAAGGGCTTTTGAATTCAAGAAATATGGAGTTTATCCGACATTTACTTCATTTTATTAAAAATATATATAATGCTGATAATTGAGAAGAGACATTTGAAAATTAGACTATTCAAAACATTTCCAATTTCACAACTGTTTTAAGTAAACTTTAGATAAAAAGCTCTTGCAATGTTCATAGATTTAGTAAATCCAATTAGTTGGCTAAAATAAATATTTATGCCAGCAATAATATCATCGACACCAACCCCACTGCCATCTAGTTTATTTATCTGTAATATTTTATTATCAAACCAACTCTATGAGATTAAGAAGTGATAAGAATAATTTATAACATTTGTCTTAGATCACATTTTACATAGTTTAAGATCTAAGACATTTGTATCTTGTATTGAACTCTTTAGTCATTATTGATTAGTTCATACATTTTTTACAATTCATGTTTCTTATAAATGTGTATTTCTAAAATTTTAAAACAAGATTAATAGCTAAAGAAATCTATTCTAAAATGAACTTGAGGTGTCAAAAAATCAAAAACTATGCGAAAACTGTTTTCAACAGTTATTGTTCTAGTAATGAATTACTCTATGCTACACAGATCAAAAATACCACAACAGTGTGTACTAATCACTTGACTCCAGAAATTAAGTTGTATTTGATAAATGATCAATGTAAATTATGGCACTTACCTGTTGATCAATGTCCATTTAATGATCCATTTTGGGCATTTTATTGGCCTGGAGGTCAAGCTATTTCCAGGTAAAAAGACAAATTATTAAAAATATATACTTATACCTAATTCTTTAAATTAACTTTTTTTAATTTTAGATTTATATTAGACAATTATCAATATGTCAAAAATAAAACAGTATTAGATGTTGGTAGCGGTAGTGCTGCATGTTCTCTTGCTTCAGCTATGGCAGGTGCCAATGAAGTAACAGCTAATGATATAGATCCTGGTGCTAATATGTCTTTTTATTTTATGATATATATATATATATATATATATTATATTCTGTAATTATTTTTTGATTATTTATAGTTGCATGTGTAGCAGCCAAACTCAATGCACAGTTGAATGGTGTTAAAATAAATATATTATCCAAGAACATTTTATTTGATGATTGTTCAAATTGGGATGTTATCATTGTTGGAGATATGTTTTATTCGAATGATATAGCTGACGTATTGTGGAAATGGCTAGATTCATTACGTGTTTGTGGGAAGACTATACTCATTGGTGATCCAGGTAGACATTGTTTTAAACCTAATCATCATTTACAAGAACGTTTAAAAAAACTTGAAGAATACAAATTGACAGAAAATTGTTGTTTAGAAAATCGAGGATTCGCAACTGCATCTGTTTGGATGTTAGACTGAAATTATTAAGAGTTAGAATTAAATTAACATTTATTTTGTACAATATAATAAAAAATTTGTCAAAATTTATAAGGTATACAACATAATTTTATTTTATTTTAATCAAGAAGCTGATAGCTGTTAAGTTTTTCTGCACTATAAAATCCAGCTTTTACTTGTCTACCACCAAAAAATCTGCCATTCAAATCTACAACAGCTGTAATAAAATAAATTTCAAATTAAATACAATTTAAATTTTTTTTTTTTTTTTTTATAATTTCACCTTTGATTGCTGATTCTATACGTTTAAATTCTACAAATATGCGCACAGCTTCTTCAGGATCAACATTTGGAACTTCATATATAACTACTCTGTTAACATCTCCATATTTAGTGTTGCATTCATCTTTTACTTCAGGTTCAAGATCTTGATCAACTTCACCCGGTCCAACCATGTTTCGTAATAGTACAACCTATTTTTATTTAATTAAAAATTAACTTAGAAAAATTATATAATAAATATTATAAAATTGAACCTTTGATTGTTCTTTCATTATCTCTGTAATACTTTGTAGAGGTTTAGGTGGTGGAGGAGCAGGTGCAACAAAATCATCTTGTAACATAGTAGCCATATGAGGTGGAGAAGCATTACTACCAGGTTTCTCATGAATAATTCTACCACCTCTTTTACTAGTTTTTTCGACTTGTAATGCTACTGAGATACCTTGTTCTTTCTTTCCCAGTCCTTGTCCCTCCTAGAAAATAATTTTTATCAATACGTATGTTAATATTTGCTATTTGCTATAAGCCATAAATATTTTTATTATTTTTTAAAAAAAGAATAAGTTTAAAAACAGAAAATAATAAATATTTAAACTAAGTTAAAACTTCAAGTTATATTATTATATATTGTGGTATCCAACATATAAAGTTTAAAAATTTTACAATACTAAAAAACCATTTATATTTATATATATTTAATGTATATATATCAACATCATAGACCTAAGCAGTATGCATTGCTACATCAATTATGTTATTATTAATTCTGCTTTACTATTAAATTAAATAACAAGAAAAAAATGGCATATTAACAAAATAATTAAATTATTAAAGCTATAAATGAAGATCATTGAACATACAGCTAAATTATAGTTTAGAACTTATAAACTATAATTAAGAATGTCTTAATTAAGGCGTAAATTACTATTTTTTTGTTATAGGTACAATTGCAGATTAAATAAGAATTAATGGTGAATTTAAATAAATAATCACCTTGAAACCATATTTAGCCATTATTTTAGCAGCAACTCCCATTCCCATTCCAATTCCTGATGATTGTTGCTGTCCAGGTGTTGAAACAAATGATTCTTGTAATGATGGTGGTGGGGCAATTGCAGCACCAGGAATTCTAGCCATTGGCTTTGGTTCATCATCTTCACTATCACTCTCTTTACGACCACCAAATCCAGTAAAATTAGATTTTCTTCTGTCATCTATGTTGGATGTTAAACCCACTGGTATATCCATCATATTATAACCACTAAAACAAATATAGATAAATATTGTGTACATTTTTATTGGTATAAAACCATTAAACATACGGTGTATCTCTATTTTTATTACGTTCTTCTCTTCGTTTTCGTCTTTCTTCATCTTCTTTTTCTTTTTCTTTATCCCGCATATCTCTTAAATCTAATATTATTACTTCTTTATTTTATAATATTTTATAAATTATTACATTTCATTAAGGAAAAAAAAATATTTAAAAATAAAGAACAATTTTCAGTTTAAAATAAATTTGTTATGGTAATTCAACTGTCTATAATATAGAAAATAATAACAAAAATATTTAAAACAAAACCCTGAAAATCCTTATTGTATTTACCTCTTACTACTCTCTCATAATCATTGGGGATCATAGGATCATATTCATTGCCTTCAAAATTCCAATCCATAGGTGGAAATGATGGGCGTTGTTGTTTTTTTCCTTCCTAAAGATAATGCAAATAATACAATTCAAAACAAAATTTGATATCATATAAGATATTTGTCTTACTCTGGCCATAGGAAAAATTGTAAAACCAAGTCCTGGATCAAACATGGATTCATCATCATCTTTTTTCTTTAAATCAATCACAGGTGCTAAAATTGATGTTGTTTTACGTGTAGCATCTCTTCTTGGCTAAAAGAAAAATCAAATATAATTATAATACATTTATGAGTATTATTAGAGTATAAATTATCATATAGTAATTTAAACTTTGTCTCAAATTTATAATACATTTAACAGAAAAAATTGAATATTTATTATAAAATGTAAATATTTCAATATGGCATAATAATAGTAAAATAAATTTAAACCTGAGTTTGAGCAGCTTTTTTTAGCTGCATTTGTGATTGAAAGAGTTTCATTCCAGAAGACCAACCATCTGACTTTTGTTTAACAACATCGAAATCATCATACAGAGACATTATCAATTTTTACTAAATAAAGCTAATTAAAAGAAAAATACGGGTTCAATTAAGACTTGAGAGCAATTACTTAAGTATTACATACAAAATAATTATGGTTGTTGACGTTTTCTTTGCTTTTTGACGATAAGAAATAATATCTGTATGATAATCACAGACCTCATACTAGGTATAAGGTTTATTGTTTCTAACCAATGTAATTGTATACTTAATTAATGACAGTATACCAATATTGATAAGTGTCAATAAATAAATTAAAATATAATTTAATTTGAATCATATTAATAATCGTGCATTATTTCATGTCTCAACTCAATTGTAAATATTATAAAAGTAAAGGGTGTAACTAGTGATGAAAATAAACGAATGATTTTAATAATCGAATGGTTTTTTCTTACGGAATACATGTACAAAATATCAAGCAAGGGGTCGTAAGCGATACTCGGGATAACTCAAATAAGTCTCTGTGTATGAGCTGATCGACCCAGATCTTTGACGATCAAATTAACCGGAGGTTGATAGGAAGATGGTGGCCCTGAAAAGGGCAGTTTTCTGTTTGTGGTCACACCGAACCTACGCTATTTCGGGAGCTCTTGGACTACGAATGCTGCGTTGAGATGGTGTTTCCAATGCCCGTTGTCATCACCGGAATCGTTATTACCACAGTCGTTGTTGTCGCTATCGTCAAACAATTCTTCGTTCTAGAATTTTTCTAACTGGATAGATGTTTTCAGTCGAAGAATGTTTGCTTTGCTTTGGGGGAATGGCTATGCCGTAAACTATTCCAGGGTTGCGTCTCTACTAGTGGTGGGAAGTTTGACGGAGATAATAACGGTTAGTTTGGTTGGTCTGTCCAATCGAGTGGGTAAGGTTTAAGTAGTTATTTGTTGTTTGAAGGAAAGTGCGTTTTTCCTATGAGGCGGATGTGGTCATAGTTGGAAAAATTTTTGTAAAACATCGTTTTGGATTGAGAGTGAATGGAGTGTTTGATCGATTTAAAGTTAGCAGATTTAAGGAGGGCTGAATTTTTGACGATGGTGGGCATACCCGTTATCGTACGGATGCCGATGTCATGAACAGATTCAATGCGTCTCCAGACATTGGGACCGATAAAGGGTGCACAGGAAGAGCCAGCATATGTGAGAATAGGAGAAACGTAGAGTTTGAGTATGTTAAGTTTATTTTGATTGGGCTATTTGATTATATCAGTATTTTGCCTCAATTCAAAAAAAATTTAGAGTGAACATTTTAAACAGAATGCATTATTATTGTTTTAATCACCGCATTCTGAATCCAATTCTTTCAAGAAGTCTTTAAATTGTCGGTGCGGAAGCGCATGCGATCGAATGTAATTCACTGTTTTTATGACAATACTTGAGAATAAAGATTTTGTTTATGAATGTTTGTTACGATACGTTATTAATGATACGGATTCCGTGTTATGCAGTCATTCCAGAATATTATATTGGGACAAAAATAAATTTTGTTGTGAATGTTTGATAAATCTCGCGAGCCGCAAACTTTCAAAGATGAGCTGCGGGTTGGCCATCCCTGGTATAGAGTCTATGGTAACCAGTCAGAAATGCTTAGCATTATGTGTTTCTCCTAATCGAGAGAACGCAGCAGCAAACGAATATATTATCAGTGCTGGTAACCGCACTGGAGACCAGCTGCTGTCAGCATGGTTGTTGTTCGGTCTCGCACCACCAGCGCGGCGGTGCCAGTACAGCGCCCCTCTTATATTCATCATCAAAAATGGCGATAGCATATCTCATCGGCTGAACGTGCGTATGTGCGTGTATGTGTTATTATACATTTATACATAGAGTGTGCGTGTGCGTGCGTGTTATATGCCGTGTTCGTTTGATGCACTGCTGCTGCGTGTGTGTTCCTCCATCACGCATTCATTTTCTCCGGTCCGTTTGGTTCATTCGCTCGTTGTATATCCGAATACAACCCCCGACTGCTGCTGTTACTGTGCTGTAATTCGTTCGAATAAACGGTGCGCGAGGCGTTCGTCCAACGGCGGTTGGCGTTGACGCATGCCGACCACAGACACCGCGTTATCCGGACTACCGACCGTAATTAATGTCGTCGTTGCAATTCATCGTACATCCAGCCCCTGGAACAGACGATCAATTAAATGACAGGTACAACCAAGTCACGTACGTTTCGCGGATACACGCGTAGCACATATGTGTATAAATATTGAAAGACCATCTCGCATACACAGTGTAATTACGCGTGTACAATTAATGACGATACTTTCCCGATCTCCGAGAACAAGCAAACCAGCCAGCAATTTCTGTGTGCTAACTCCGGGGCCCCATCGCGATCCCTTTCGCGTTCTCATTTTCTTCGAGCGTACTCGGATTTACCCGTTGGGTGTGGTGAATCTTACTATAGTATCTGATGACTATTGTCCTTGTGTTCGTGGAAAATTCATTCTCTAGATCTCTAGATAATATACCGTTCCTCACGTATCTCACGTCCTTAATGATACAATGTTTAAAACGGATGTATGTGTGTACACGCACATACACTTAGCATGCCAAATATCCTTTCTTGTGGTAATATATCTATATAATTATATAATAGATACATATATATATATATATAATTTACATCATGTTCAGAATTTCTTTGTCGCATCGTCCCTTCGATTTATTTGTGGCATATCATGTTTAGGTGATGAGGTTAATTTAATTCTTCCTTATCAATTAAATACAATATCAACGTGTTTGCAACGAATTCCTTAAAAAATGTATTTTTTCTTATTTCTTTTTTTTTTCATTTTTCATTTTTGCAGTATGTTCTTCATGTAAAATGTATTTAAACTTACATAAAATCATGAATAAGTTAATAAATTAATGTATGTTCAAGTATTCTTGTCTGTTTTCCTCGGTGAAAATTGGTTTTATGTTTATGGTTCTTTATTCAATTATTTGAAATAAATATGTGCATAAATGTGTTTAGCTCCTAAGTTATTACAAGAAAATAAAATACTAATTTTTGTTTTTTTAATGCATTATGGTAATTTCCAAAAAATTCTGACAATTTCCATAAATGGTCTAAAACCTTAAAAAATTTTCTAAAATTATAATATATTTATTTTATAAACTTGAGTGTTTGATGTTTGATATTTTGGTTAAATCAAAAATGTCCTATCGTATTAATTTTTTATGGTATGAATTTATCTTATTACATTTAAAGTGGTTTTTCATAATAAATTGAGAATTGTTATCTGTTTGGTTAGACTCGTGCAATGAGTCCTCCTCCAAACAAGCTAATTCAAGTGAGTATGGTTGCTTTGTTAATGTATCTACAATTGATGATTATCAAACCGAAATGTTACCACTCTGCATAGCAAGTAGATTTGCAGATTAATTTTAGTTATATACATAATACATATGATTATATAACATAAATGTTGAACAAGTGTAATGTGTTTTACCTATATGTATACTTGATTTGGCAATAGATTTATTGACTATGATTTCTAAAGGAAGCTAGACTAACTTTTTAAAAAGTACCATCTGATTATACCTACATGTTAAAATACATTTTTTGAAGAAAAAAAATTGCTTAAAATAGCTAGCTAAACTACATTAATTCCTAAACATAATTTATCAGTACATTTATAATTTGTAGGTATAGATTATTATAAATAAGGATATATACATTTATTTTAGCTGTATTATGTTAAAATTATAATTAGCCTTCATATGTAATAATTAACAACTTGGTTAACTGATAATCACCAAAATTTGATTATTACTCTATATATTTTTGATACTTTTTAATATTCTTATAATTAATGTATTTAGGATAATTTAAAGTCGATGAGCATTTTATTTTTTTCCTTATTTTTATTTTTGATTTCTTTATTGACCAATATTTTATAACCTTCCTAAATTTATTATAATTTTATTATTTATTTTACAGTTCAGTATGTTATTCATAAAAAATGTTCTTTAATTTTAGGAGTACTTATGTTATTATTTAAATTATTTGATGAACTTTGATATTTTTAATTTTGTATTACCGTATATACCGTATATACATTATTGAATTCTTGTTAGATATTGTAATATTTATCAAAGTTACATTTTTTTTTTTTAATGTATTAGTAAGTATCTAATATTTGAAGTAGATTTATATTACAGTTGTTAAGGCTAATGTTAAAAAATATTTCTTGTGTATTTAATTTGTGAATGTACTGATTAAATTTAGAAATTTTGGTCCAACATTTTTTTCATAATATTCTCAAACACTAAAAATGAAAAAATAATTCAGCATTCCTAGAGTTAATATTATTTTTAATTATTTAGTTGTTTATTAACAAATAATTTATATATTTAAAACAGCTTTTCTTAACTTAGTTTTAATCCTTTGTATATTTTAAAATAAGAATGATAATTTTTTTTTCTAAATCCTTATTTAATTTATGTAATTACCATTTCAATATGAAAGTCTAAAATTATATAACTTCCATTAACATTTTACTGTGTCACTATGATAAATTTAAATAATTTATTTTATTTTGTGATAATTTTGAACACAGGATTTTTTTATTCTTTAACTCTTACAATCCAATTTTTCTTAAATGTTTTGTATGTAGAATTATATGTGGATTATTGTATCACAAAAAAAGTTTTAAAATCAGATTATTATATAAAGTTATTTTTTTTATTTTTTTTAATTCAAGTCTATTATATATTTTTAATTAGATTTTATTATTCAATTTGATTTTCAGGTATATTTATTTTTTAAATATATAGATACATTTTATTTTTAATAACTAATTGTAATTTATATTTTTTGTTTAGGTTCAAAGAAGTTTCGGAACGTTTGAATAGATGTATTTCAGGGAATACATCGTCTTATCCTGTTCTGTCTAATATAAAATCTCCAATCAAACAAATAGTTGTTGGACCATATCATATTGGTTTATTATTTGAAGATGGCCGAGTGGCTCGAATACCCTTCACAGTGGTTGCTGAAAGATTGGATTTATCTAGATCTACTGGGGATGCAAACAAGTTGCCTTCAAAGTCCAGTAGTGGTGGTAGTGGTGGAGGGGGTGGTGGAGGAGGAGGCAATTTGGGTTCTGCCACACGCCACCTTACCAGACGAGCTCGTATCATGAGATCTGGAACATTCCGTGGAACATCAAGGTAAATGTTAATATATTTAAATATTATACTTAAGTATAACTTAAGACATTTTAGTAAATAATTGAAGTTTTTTTTTATTTAGATCATCTGGTAGTGGTGTAATAATGAGTGGTAGTATAACTAGTGGTCGTCCAGTTATGCCAGCGCAATTTGTACCAGAAGAGCTTGTAGCCCAAGCTCAAGTTGTGTTGCAAGGTAAAAGTCGAAATTTAATAATACGTGAACTACAGCGAACAAATTTGGATGTGAATTTGGCTGTCAACAACCTTTTGTCGCGTGATGATGAAGAAGGTGATGGAGAAGGTGGTGATGAAGTTGGAAGTGGACCTGGTGGAGACTCCTATGTTCCTGAAGATTTAATGTCTTTATTGGATGGTGGAGGTTTTCATTCTGACCATTCTGTTATTATTGATGCTGATGCCATTTTCTCGGAAGATATGTTTTCTTACTCATCATCTAGAAGGTAAATGTGATATAGTGTATTGCATTTTATTTAGTTTTATTGGTTATCTACATGATTTTAGACCCGTGTTGACATTTCGTAGGAGTGGTGCTAGAAGGTTGGGTGATCGTGACCGTGTAAGCAATAGCGCTAATGATAGTTCCTCTAGTGATCGTAACTCGGGACCTATTGATCGTGACAGTTTTACGAGATGGAGGGATCGTCATTGCTATGGACAACAACAACATAGACAAAGACAGCAGTGGCTTGAAGGAGCTCTACGTGATTCAGCCTGGGATAAAGATACAGGTAATTATTAATTTAATTTAAAGATATTTAAGTTATGCTTTCAATTTAAATCATGTTTTTAATTTTTTGTTTTTTTGTAGAATCTAAAAAGAAGGACTCTAACGTTGGAACTTTTGAATTTTCCGCAGACTCCAAAAAAAAGGATAATAATACTGGCAACCCCTTGTGGTTATCTAATGATGCAGAATATTGGCCTGAACCAAATGTTAAGTTTATACAAATTGCTGCAATTCATTCAGAATTAATTGCTCTTTCAGCAGGAGGACAACTTTATCAATGGAAATGGGAAGATGCTGAACCTTATAAAACTTTAGATGTAATTTATATAGTTGACAATATATTTAAATTTAAAATAACATAATGCATTTTGCAGAGCAATATACATCATCCAAAAGCTGCTCTTCTTGGTTTAACTAATGAAAAAGTAACTCTTCTATCTGGTACTATTATACGAGTTTCTGTTGTAACAGAATCCAATAAAGTAGCTACATGGATGGATGAAAGTCTTACTCATGCTGCTACTGCATCTAAACTTGAACACCCTGCTCAACTTTATAGCGAATTTGTTATTGATCATATAGTTTCTATCCATACATGCCCACTGTATACACTCGCACGTTTAGAAAGTGGAGCACTTTATTGGTGGTATGTATAATATTTATTTTCTAATTTATGAATAATTTTATAAAATAAAAAATATGTTATATCCTACTAGGGGAGTACTACCATTCAACCAAAGGCGCAAAATTTGGGATAAATACCGCACTAAAGCTAGAAAACAAAAGACAAACAATTTAAATTCTGATATTATAGTTGGCAGTCAAGTTTGTATGAAAAATAGTCCACTTTATCAACCAGGAGCTATTGGTATGTTCAAAATTTTATTATTAAATTTATTTATTTATTTAAAACTTAGTTATATGTTATTTAAATTATATGTTTATTGATGTAGGTATTACCTTATATGGTGGTGAGCCTAAAATTGGTCAGCTATTAAATTCGGCATGGTCATATGCTGATATTTGTAGATTCCAAATTTTGACTCCACCTCAGATATTTCAATCTCAAAACTTTAACAGTAGTTCCTCTAAGTCATCTACACCTATTGAAAAAAGTAAAGAAACAGCAGATAGAATCGACATGCCACCTCCTCCCTCTCCGGCATCTAGCACTTGCAGTGATACCGGAAGCACTGTTCAAAGTTCAAGTTAGTTAAATAATTAATTATTTTATGATTAAAAATAATATTACTAACATTGGTAATATCATTCAGAGAGGACTAAAAAGGTGACAATGAAAGGTCTTGAAGATGATAAAAACATAGAAGAAGATTGGCCATTAAAAGATGTTGTATTTGTTGAAGACCAAAAAAGTTTGCCCATTGGTATTGATATATTATATTATTGTAATAAATAAATACATTTATATATATATATATATATATATTTTTAATTTATCAAGGTCGTGTTGTTCACGTGGATGGTTCATATGCTGCAGTTAAATTCCCATGTGTCTCAAAAGATGTTTCAGGAATATTTCCTAAAGATAAAGATCCTACAGCTCCTGTAAATGAAGATGTAGTAACAAACATTATCAAAATGCTGGACCAACATGAAGTTCGATTAATGAAAAAAGATGATCTACAGGTTAAAATTTTTAATGAATGAAGATCTAAACCATATATATTTTAGATGTGTAAATCATATACTTTTATTTATAATATAGGTATGTAAAGTAGCTGTTGCAAGCAAAGTACCAGATTGTTTTCAAAGAACACCAAGAAGAATAAATTTTCCTACTGATAATGGAAATCAAATTTTAACTTTAACTATTGATGGTCAAGGTACGTTATTTTATTAATGTTTAATTATTATTAGTAATTACTATATTATTTTAAGGTGTTCATGCAATTGTAAAAAATGGTTCTAAAATCAGTTATGTGAAGTTCAATATAACAAGTGGGAAAATAGAGCAAGATAGTCCATTTCCAGTTGATGCAAGTGCTTTAATAGGCTTGAGCCCCGATAATATGCAAATTTTATGTACTGCTGAAGTAATTTTTTTTTTTTATTTATTTATATTTAATGATTATTAAAAGCAAATTATAATATATTTTTTTGTTTTCATTCCAGAGTAAAGATAACATATGTATTTTACGTGATGGTAATCGAACTATCTATCCGTTAGCTAAGGATAGTACTGATTCAATGAGAGAACCCCAGTGGTTAGATTTAGGACCTGTAAGGTGTATTGGTATTGGTTCATATACTGTTACCTCTCCTCATGCAAAAGCAGTTACTGCAATTATAGTTCTAGATGTAGAACAGCAAATATTAATGTCTAGAATATTGAAGTCAAATCTTGAGTCTGTTAAAATGTTGGTACAGCAGTTGTCAGTTGAAAATGGTATGCACTGTTAAAATTGTATTTTGTTTTTATTTGAAATAAACTTTCTAACAGTCTTACCTTATCACATTTTTAGATAATGGCGAACTTTTATCACAAATTTTAGCTGAGCGATGTGATGGGAATCGTAATCTTTTACATGCTTGTGTTTCAGTTTGTGCACCAATATCAAATAAAGAATTAGAAGGTGTTATTTAAAAAAAATATTAGTTATTAGATTAAAGGTTTATGTAATGATTTTACTTTTAGATGGAGATAATCTACCAAATCAATCGAATTCTAATGTTGATACTTTGAATGTAATTCAAAAAGCATTTGGTGTCCGATCAACATTTAGTTTAAGAGAGATGATGAGACGGGCTTCAGCTGCTGTTAGATCTAGTAATTATAAATATTATGACTATTAACTACAATGCAACATAAGTTAATATTACAATTGAATCATTAGATACCACAAATAATTCATCAGATTCTGAACCAATGGAAATGAATGAGGACGCACCACCTCCAGGTACTGTTCCAGAACCCTGGCATGAGCCAGTTAATGCTACAACTCAACCAACAACTGTATTACAAAATGATGAAGAATCAATTCAATCTGCTCTTACCGTTAATCCTACAGCTGAAAGGCGAAATAATGCTTTAGCGATTTTAAGGCTTCTCTGTGAATCTAATATATTTTCACCCTATTTATTGGATCTTTTAACTGCTAAGTACGTTATTTTTTATTACATTTCTGGCTGAAATTTTTAATGTTTATTGATTCAAATTTTAACTATACTAATATTTGGACACACTAATACTTTATTTTTTGTATACCATATTTTATTTTTAATTTTTTAATATTTTTAAAGTTGATTCTTATATTTATGATGTAGAAAATTAAATGTTATTTAAATTATAGTTAAATAATTATCCCTATCTAAAATAAGAAATTTTCTTAAATAAATTTTAACATTATTCTTTTAGAGATGCTCAAGGATTGACACCATTTATGTTAGCTGTAACTGTTAGAGCATATCCTGCTGCTATTATTTTACTTGATACTATTCATCGGGTTGTTGCTAAAGTAGTTATTCCACCAACTACATGTGAAATTCAAGGTTCTTCTTCAACCGAACAAGAACATGCAATCAAAAATGTTATGAGTGCTTGGAGATCTTCAGCTGCAGGAACAGGATCATCTACTCCTAATTGTAGCAAAATAACTCCAGAAATTGGTACTCAACCAGTACCTCTGTTTAAGAATTCACCAATTAATAACTTTGAATTACCACATCCTTGGTCATTACCCATAGCTGGAGGATTACCACAACAACAACCAAATGATTTTTCTAAAGGTAAATTTTTCATTTATTTGCTTATTATATGTTTAACAAAATAGATGTTATTAACATTTTTTTTATTTTAGGATTTTTTACTATTCCACCTCCTCCACCACCTATTTCACCTATGTCATCTCTTTATAAAACTCATATGTGGTATACTGATAGATCATTGTATATTGATAGTGATAAAGAAAAAATCCTTAAAGCTAAAGAAGTTTTAGCTTCTATGGTTTATCCTCCTGGATCAAATCCAGATTATAGTCCATTGCATGTGCTTTGTTGTAATGATACATGTAGTTTTACTTGGACTGGAGCTGAACATATTAATCAGGTATTTTATGTGACTATATAATAACTTTTTTTATTTTAATTATTTTATTCTATATTTTATGTAAAAATATATTTGACAGTAGTTGATAATGTTGGAGAATGTTGTATTATTATTATATGCTTAAATTAATTAAATATTTTTCTATTCAATTGACTATTAGGATATATTTGAATGTCGCACATGTGGTTTAACTGGATCATTATGCTGCTGTACAGAATGTGCTCGTGTTTGTCACCGAGGTCATGATTGTAAATTAAAAAGAACATCTCCTACTGCGTATTGTGATTGTTGGGAAAAATGTCGCTGTAAAGCTCTAGTGCAAGGGAATCAATTATCTAGATTTCAGTTACTTAATAGGTTAATTAATGAAACTGATTTAGTGACTCATTACAACTCCAGGTATTATTTATATATTATACAAAAGAAAAAAATAATAATAATAATATTTTTAATTTTTTTCAATATTTTAGAGGTGAGAGTATTTTATTATTTTTGGTACAAACTGTTGGGCGGCAAACAAATGAACAACGTCAGTATAATAGATCATCAAGACAGCGAGCAGCTCGAAAAACACCATCGTCTGACATAGGTAATATTTAAATCAAATAAATTTAAATGCAATCAGAAAAAATGACATGTAGTTTATTATTGTAGAAATGGATATGCCTGATCATGATTTAGAACCACCAAGATTTAGTCGTAAAGCATTAGAAAGATTACTTAACGATTGGCCTGCAGTTAAAGCTATGATCATGTCTGGTGTAAAAAATGATTCTGAAAGTAAATTAAGCGATCAACCATACTTAAAAAACCAATCTGGAACTACATTTTTAGATAAGTTCATGCATTGTTTACTTTTTAAATGCAATGCTGAGGTTTTAACAAGCTCTTTTATGGTAAATTTAACTATAATTATTTAATAAGAGCAACTATTATATAATTAATATAATAATTATATTTTTAGATGGTTGATGCGTTAGTTACAACTATTGTTAAAGAACTTCATAGTTCATTGTCTAATTCAGCTGAAGTAAATACAATAGCTCGTCGTTTTATAAGATCTGTTATACGTGTGTTTGTTGTTTATAGTGTTGAATTAGCGCCTCAAAATAATAAACGACGAATGTAAGTAGAAATTAATTTTAAATTTTAAACTTGGTTTTTTTTAAAATTTAATTTTTTGAATTACATAGGCTTGGAAATTTATCCTCTCCATTTGCTCGTGCCAGGCGTATATTTCAATCAATGATGAAACTTTCTGTTGAAGAATTATGTGAAACAGCTGAAAGTTTAATAGCACCAGTTCGTCTTGGTGTTGCTAGACCTACTGCTCCATTTACTTTATCCAATTCTAATCCAGATCAACAGGTACTAAATATAAAAAGAAATGTTAATTTATATTAGTATTAATATCTTCTATATTTTTAAGAGTTATGAAGAAATATTTTTTGTTGAGCCTATGGCTCCAAATAACATGACGTCATCTGATCATTTAGAAGGTTCTAATGTTCGGGGTCAGTCCCAAAATGATCAACCTCCAATTGACATTGAATTAGAAGATGAGATGGCTGACAGTATGTATTTTTTTATTATTTTTTGCTGATATTTGTTATTTAAATAGATCATATTATAGTTAAGTAGACGTCTAGATTTCTAATAATATAAATATTTTTCATTCATTTTGTTTTTGATATTTTAATTATTTGTTTTAAATCCATTATTTTTAAGTATGTTAATTTATTTGCATTGATAATTATTAAAAAGACATTTATGTTTTTTACATAATTTAAACCATGAGAAATTATAATCTCTATTATATAGTATATATATATTTTTTGAAGCATATGAAAACTATAAATACTTAATGATTCACTGACATGAAAATAAATATAATTGTTATATAATCAAATCTAAAAATAGCATGTTATGGTATTTTATTTAGATAATGATGGTGAAGGTAGTGATACAGAAGATGTTATGGGTAGTGGACTAGAAAATCGAGGTGATTTAGGACCTAACAGAATTTCTGATTCGAATCAGCCAGAGTCTGACACCGAAGATATGTTGGTTGAAACTGATTCTGATTCTGATCAAAGTAATCAAGATGGTGGTGGTCAAAGAAGTGTCCAAACTGGAGCTACTGCTGGTTCAGATACTGATGATGAATCTGGGGAATCGACCCAGCAAGAAGATGGGGAAGAATCGGAAGCTGGAGAAACAGATGAACTAGAGACTGAAGAATTTCTTGTGTCTGAAGATCAATTAGAAAGAAGAGCGTATGTTATTTTTATATTAATAAATATATTTTAAAATGCTATTTAAATTATCTTTTTGATTTATTTTACAGTACAAATTCTGGGCAAGGGCACAGGACTAATTTAGCACCCCAATCTATGCAGTGGGCTATCAGAAATCGTGATCCTACAACACGTTCAGCAACTGGTATGTATATATATATATATGTGTATTATAGTTTCTAATAAAAATTCATTCAAAGAGGTGTACAATGTTACTTCAATCTACAATTTTATTTTTTATGAATACTTTTTGTTTTAATTATTAAATTTAAAAATGAATCAATCTGAAATTTTATTTTTAGGATTTAGAGTTGCCTCTGGTAATTCATTAGTTTTCATAGATCCTTCATCATTGAGGCGTTCTGCTGTTGCTGCAGTTAGTAATAGTACCAATAATTCTGGTAACGGAAGCAATAATGCAGCTGCAGCTGCTGCTGCTGCAGTTGCTGCTTCTGCAGCAGCTGGTCTTAATGATTCAATCACTATGTCAACTACAGCTTCTAGTTTGGCTAGAGCATTTGCAGTAGTTATACGACAAATAGCTGATTTATTAGTGACCTCTATCAATGATCCACCGTCATTACCAATACCAGTACGGACATCCGTACAAGATAACTACAATTTACAAGTAATATTTAAATTTTAATTTGTGTAAAATATTTTTTATGTACTTGAATATGATTATTGATATTAATACAATTCTTAGATAATAATTGAAAAGTCACTTAAACCCACTTGGGATTGGTTAATGGCTATCATGGATTCTACAGAAGCTCAACTTAGATTTGGTGCTTCACTTACTCAGTCATCTGATCCACAACATCCAAGACATCCTTTACATTCAACAACAACATCTAATACTACTAATACATTACCTACTACATCTTCTGGAATAGGTATTATTTAAATTATAAAATTTACTCATCAATTTTTACATGAATTTTTTTTTAGGTTCTAATAGTAATAATAATCAAACGGTAGAACCTCGACGTGAATTTATATCATATTGTTTATCTCTTATGAGAGCTCATAGTAATGAACATGGAGATTCCTTGCCAGTATTAGATGTTTCTTCTTTAAAACATGTTGCTTATGTCTTGGATGCTTTAGTTTATTATATGCGAGCTGATACAGCTGCTGTTAATTGTCAAGCATTAACTCCTCCTATGTTGTCAGAATCAGTTGAAACAGAACCTTGGATCATAGATCAGGTTAGTAACATAAATGTTACTTTAATATAAATTTTAAAATGTAATCTTCAAATTAATTTTTATTCTTACATATTCTATATCCTATATTCGATTCATAAACATTTGATATATCTTGTCTAAAATAATAATACAATTTGTATTATATTAATTGTATTTAAAGTAATAAAGTTAATTATTAATTGTTTATTATTAGGGCGGAGGACTTGTGGCTTTACAAAAGCACTAAATATGCAAATGCATATGTACTTATAAACCCTATAATAAGGACTAAAAATATGTTCTTATATTTTTTTAATATAATTTATTTAAAAAAAAAATCAGTAAATGTTGCGTAACATAAATTGTTTTCACATCATACTTTAAAATCACAATACTTATAGTATGCAACAGGTGTGCCCAACTTTTTTCGATTTGTAGGCCACATTCAAAATTTATATTTATATATCATTTTTTTTTTTAATTTCGATAAAATATTCAATAGTTAATAGATATATTAAAACATTAGGGATATATACTGTACATTATCGGATATAATATTATCTTTGTTCACTTATCAAATTTATAACTAAAACTATTTTCGAGCTTATGGGTGATGTAAAATCATTTGAAATAAAATTACAACTTTTTAAAAACTAAATTTTTTTACATTTTAAAATGTGTCAAGAAATAAAACAATTCTTTATTAATGTTTCAACAAATAATTGTGTGAGTATGTTAAAAAAATTATCAATAGAATTTGAAACTGTTTTCAAGATTTCAAATTATGTTCAAGAAACTGTTCAACTTGAACTTTTTGATTTAAAAATAAATAATCATTTGAAAGATTTATATAAAGAAATCACAGATAAAAACACAGATTTAATATATAAGACCCTTACTGATGATTTCTTAAAATAAAAGAATTATCAATGTTTATATTTACATTATTTTACATTATTTATTTCTATTTATATTGGTGAACAAACATTTTCACACATGAATTATGCAAAATATTCAGAAAGATTGCGATTGACTGATGAACACTTACACTTTTTATTAAGATTTGGCGTTGCATATTTCACTCCGAATATTGAACTTAAAGAAAAACAAGCCCAAATTTCATACTAATTTATATCTATTAATATTCTAAAATTCAATCATTTTTTTTTTATATTAAAATTAAAAATTATAAGATATTTTGTAATTTTTAAAAACGTAATAAAATAAAATAAATTTTAAATAATTATTTTTTTTAAACCTATATAAATTTCTAATTTTTATCAAATCGTCACGGGCCGGTTGGAATACTTTTGTGGGCAGAATACGGGCCGTGGGTTAAACATGCTTGGTATACAATTTAACCATTAGTTGAAAACACATGAACACCAAATTTCCATAAATAACTCTTTAATTGACTGTTAAAAGATTGTTTATTTTTGGCATTTTAATGTTAATATAGTACACAAAGACTAAGATTTGACACTAAGTATAAATAGACACACATTCGTAGACAACAGAACTAAGACTGAATGATAAAAATAATAAATTATTAAAGAACAATGATTGACAGAAGCCAATGAAATTTTTTTATCAGAAATTGTGTGATATAGACAACATTTTTACTGTTAAAAAATAAAATAAATTTAATCTAGGTGACCCTTAAGACGTATTTGTAGGAATAATATGTGTGTACTTACAACCATACTGTTATAGGATGATTACCATTTTTTTTTATTAATTCAAATATATATTGGTCGTATATTAGAAAAAATAAAAATGTTGACAGAAAAGTATTGATAAAAGAAAAATTATTTAAAAATTGCATTTAAAAGTATAAAATGAGAAAGATATGCCCTAAAAAAATTTGAAATAGCATTTTATGCAAAATATAATTTCAAGGCTAGTTTTGTGAAAGTATGAAACATTTGTTTAATACTATGCTATTCTTGTGAATGTGCTAAACACATGCAAATGCTTCAAATCCTTTATCCTAGTTATTATTTTAAACTAATTACTAGGACTGAGAACTTCTAGTACTTTAAATCCCTAAAACCTTAAAATATATATGCATTTATGTTTTTAAAATATGCTTTAAAAAATGAATGTATAAAATATTAAAAAATTGATAATTTAATTAATTAATAAAAATTTCAAATATTAAATGCTTTCTTAATTTTTTTCTCTGACATCTTAAAATAATGAAAATGTATCATGGATAATTGAAGTTTACATACTAATTTCCTGCATGCATTGCTGTGTTATCTGCCAGTTAGTGAATCACCTGATATTATATTATTTACTTAATATTTGGAAATTAGTTTATGTTCTATATCATTATAACAAATATAAAAATGTTCTGAATGTGTACTTATATGCTCTTAATTTGTCTTATATAATCCAATACGCAGTTATATACAATAACAACAAAATATGCTAAATATATTTTTAAATATAGCCTCCTTGTGTTATAAAACATATTTATACATCACTAAAATTTTTCTACGACTTCTATAGACAAATATAAAAAAGCTAGAAATCCATAGCCTTAATTATTAATTAATATGCGTTTTTACTCTTAAGTGTTAAAATATTTTCCAAATTTATTAATTTGATTTTTTTGTTAATTAATTATTTTTATTTTAAATAAAGAATTTTTTATATCATTTAATATTTTTAAATGTTTAGGATGAAAATGATAATGAAGAAAATGATGAAGAAATTAATACTACTGTACCACCAATTACTCAAACGTCAACTCCAAGATTTGTAGACTTAGATTCTGGAAGCAGAGGTCGTCGTCATGCATTTTTCCAACGATCAGATTCTACTTTATGTTTAGGATGTCCTCCACCAGATCCTTTTGAAACACCTATATATCAAGCTATGCCATTGGCTGATCAGCCACATTTACTACAACCAAATGCTCGCAAAGAAGATTTGTTTGGTTCTCCAAAACTTTCAGGTATTGTAAATTCTTATAATATATTAATATATAATGAGTCATAAGTTATATTGGTGAAGAAAAAATATTTTTTTATTTAAAAACATGATCCATTTTGTAGCACCTATAGATGGATCATTGGAAGGTCTGCCATCAAGGCTTAGTTTATCCAGTCGTAGCGATAATGGAAGTGAACAGTTACCCAAAGAACATGAAAGAAAAAGTTGGTAGAATAGAGTAGTTTTATTTTATTGTGTAACTCAGATATCGGTTATTTTTGGTAATTTATTAAAATGTTGTCATTTTTAAACTTTATTTGATCTAGTGTTAATAGTATCCTTATAATTTAACAAATTTCAAAGTGATGTGAATAGTTTATATGTTTTAACATCTTTTTTACATTATTTTTTTTTTGTTATATAAATTAAATTTTTTGTTTTTCGAAAAATATGAATTAGTGGATTAAATATTGAATAGAATACTACCCATTTCTAATCAGTAAATTAATAATATAAATATTTTATTTAAATTTAATTATCAATAATAATTGTGTCTGAGGTTACATTATAAAATTGATTTCATAATTAGAAGTAACAATATTTTTAAAATAATGTTAATATAATGGAATATATTTTTACATGTAATAGCAATCTTAAGCAAACAGTAACTGTTTCAACTAGCCGATCACTCGATTTGTTATCATGGTAAAATCCAATGTTTGCTTCCATCAAGTGTTGCTATTATATGAATTAAATATACATTAATATATTAACATACTGATGTCCACTGACAAATCTATGTCAAATATTGGGAGTTCAAATATTATTGTTTTTGAGTTTGAATCCTAAATTTTTTGAATAAATTTGAATTTTTTCAAATACTGCTGAGAATCAAATTTTTATAATGCAATTTTTCACCTTTGTATCATATGCATTGCATTTAATGTTTTTTTCTAGTAACAGATAAAAACATTTTTCAGCGGACTTCACTGTGTTAAGAACTAGTATATCTAGACTTGCTTTTATCTTGTTATAAATAATTTAAAATATTTGACATTGCTATTCATTGTGTATTTATTTATATTTTTCATTCATATATTTATTCGTAAAACATATTGTTTGAGATAAATACTACTCAGTTTTTACTAAGTACTTTTCATTGTATTTACTCAATTCCATTAAATTATTAATTTTTTATTATGTAATTACTACAATTAAATTAATTATAACAAGATGATTGTTTGCAACAGTTGAGTGTGCGTCCCTGTTTGTTTTATCACTTAATTTGTATCATTATAATTTTAGGGCATGATACTGAGCCAGAAGATCTTTCTATTAAAGCTAAAGTGATTGAAAGAATGAATGAATTGAATGTATTATTTGGTCCTGGTGATGAGTCTGACACTTCACAACCAATTCCTGACAGTAAGTAGAGTTTAAAAAATATTTTATAATTTATTAAGTAAATTAAATTCTAGCTGATACAAAAAAAGATCGAGACTTAATCATTGTACCACCAAGTATTTTTACTACTGATACAACATCGCCTATGCTTAAAAGTGTTATTGTGAGAGCTCCTTCTGGTGGAACTCCGTCAACTTCTGTAAGTATTATAACATTTCAGTTAAAAAATAATTTTTCTTTAATTCTTTTAACAATTCTGAATATCAATTGCCAATTTTATACCTATAATATTTGTATTTTAATTCTAATACTTATGTTTAAAAATTAAAAGTTCCCTAGTACAGTGAATCTTCTATATAATAAATTTCCATCTTACGAAATTTTCTGTTTAACGAAATATTTTTAAGAACTATGACCTTTATTGTTAAATACACGTACCACATACATTTATCTCCAAATAACGAATCTAATGTTTCTATTTAATGAATTAATTATTCATTAAAAACTGGTTTTTGTAAATGTTGTCGCTATCAAATTTTAAATATTGGATTTTAGATAATGGCCTGCCGGTCCATTAAGAACCATCAGTTCCTTCAAGAGGTCTTGTGATTCATCTTTGTTATAAGCCAACACAGTGTACATTCTGGTCTATTTCTTTTAAGTCTCTGGATCTCTTTGATTCTCTCTAAGATTTCTTTAGATAATTATTATATCGATTTGTCAGGTTTTTGGTCTTCCTAGAGGCCTTATTTCGTTAATTTTTTCTACAAAAAATTTTTATTAGTTGCTCATCTGTCCTCAAAGTTTGTCCAAATAGTTTTAGTTATTTATTCCTTATAAACGCTAAGCTATTTGGTGTGTTGTAAAATTTCTCTAATTCCTCGTTTCTTCATTTGTAGATATTTGTTTCTTGATTGAATTATGGCTCATATATGTTCCAGATTATTTTTCTCTCAGATATTATTAATTTTCTCTTGCTTTTTTTTAAGAATACAAATGGGTGCAATCAGGTATTTAACAGATTGTCTCCTCATTATATATTTTCATTTAATTTATATACTTTATTATTATGAGTAGTTCTAATCCTTTCCATTAATTATTTCTACTTATGCTATCATAAGCTTTGATGTCTATAAATAATAAAAGTAATTTCTTGTTGAATTAATAATATTTCTTCATAATTTGTCTTTAAAAATATGTGGTCGATGGTTAACTTACTTTTTCAGAAATTACATTGGTAACTTCTGTTAATGTCTGACTTTATATATTTATTTTTTCTAAGATAACCATAATTATATGAATAACTATAACCTACATTAAGTAAAGAGTTACTTCTATAATTCTCCTTTATTGTCAGGTTTTCTTTTTTTATATATAGTACAAATTTAGTCGTGTATCGTCTGGGATTATTTCTACTTTTCATACATATCTTATAATTTCAGTTAATTTCTTCCTTAGCAGTAATCCTTCTCTTTTTTATAATTCTGCTACCACACTACTGTCAAATGTAGTCTTATTATATTTGAAACAGTCAACTGTGCCACATCAATCTTGTTTTGAGTATGTTCTTTGATTTCTTATTCCATTATTTGATATATATTTCTTCAATTTCATTGTTGTGAGGTGATCTGTTTAATAACTTTCTGAATAAATCTTTAAATTTGATTACTATTTTGTTTTTTGTCAGTGATTAGGAGTTAGTTAGTCAATGATTAAAGTTCTGTTTTTATCAGTTAATATTTTTCTTGGTGGCTTATCTAAAAATATACAAGTAAATTAATTAATCAGCGATTTTAAAAAAATTAGTAACTAAAATAAAACAATTATCATTGAACCAATCATTATTTTTATTTAATATTATAAACTATAAGAATAATTTTGATAATATTTTAATGTAAAAATTAATGTATTAAAATATTGATGTATAAAGTATATTTTCTATTATTTATAAATAGTCAAGTTCTACACAAGTTAAATCAAATACCGATGTTAATGAAGACAACCATATTTCAAATCCAAACAATGATACTATCAAACCTATGAATAAGTAAGTAAAATATTTTTTTATGTCCTTAATATATCCATATTGTTATATCGTTTTATTTTATTATTATTTATTATAATTTTGTTATTCATTTTAAAGGGGAAGTCGTTTGGGAGAAAGTGTATCTCATGATCTATTGTTAGGCCGTTGGCGCTTGACATTAGACCTGTTTGGTCGTGTATTTATGGAAGATGTTGGTTTAGAGCCTGGATCAGTTGTATCTGAACTTGGAGGATTTCCGGTTAAAGAAGCAAAATTTCGTAGAGATATGGAAAAATTAAGAAATCAACAAAATCGTGATTTAACACTATCAAAAGTAAATATTTCATATTATCTTATAATATAGTGATTTATTATGTATTTATAGTTATTTAACTGATCACAATTAATGTTAACAGTTAGAACGTGATCGAAATCAATTGATACTAATGACTTTCAAAGAGTTAAATAATCAATATAATTCATATCATCGCAGAACATCTAGTACACATCCATGTTTAGCAGTAAATAGAGTAAAAGTAACATTTAAAGATGAACCTGGAGAAGGCTCAGGTGTTGCTAGATCATTCTATACTGCTTTAGCTGAAGTAAAATTTAAAATTATTTTATTTATATATAAAATATACTTATTTAATACTTAATTTTTTAAATTTCCTTTTATTTAGGCTCTTCTATCCAGTGAAAAATTACCCAATCTTGAATCTGTTCAAGTTGGTGGTCGATACTCACAGTATACTGTTCTTCAACGTTTGAGAAATCGTGAACGTACTGAATCTACTAGAATAAGACATGCTGGTCCATTATCACCACGTGTACCATCTAGACGTTCTGAGCGAAATGATCGTGAACAACGACGCATTCTTTCTGTTGATGCTCGTTCATTTGTTCCTAATTCTGGATCAAATGATAGTAATCCTAATTCTCATCTTACTCCTCATCAACAACAGCTGGGTGATCGTCTGTATCCAAAGGTATTTTAATTTTAAATATCTTTGGATAATATCTAATTGAACTATTGAAATAAAAATGTCATCCTATTAAATTGTTTGTAGATTATTCAAATTAGGCCAAGTTTAGCCAGCAAAATTACTGGAATGCTCTTAGAACTATCACCTGCACAACTTTTAACTTTACTGGCATCTGAAGAAGCTCTAAGAATGCGTGTGAATGAAGCTATTGCATTATTAATGCAAACAGTTGAAATGTCAGCACTTGATGTTGCTCATCCACTACCCCCAGCTGATAGTCTTCTTGGTATTTTTATTTTAATGCATTTTTGAGTACAATTTTTTATAATAAGAAATGTATTACAGAAGATGTTGATTTATTCCTAAGTCTGTCAGAACAACATGGTTCTAAACCTGTTACACCTGCTAAAGAAAATATTGCAGAAGAAAATGTAACTGAAGAAAATTTAGATGACAATATGCCATTATTTTATTGTCCTGGAAAACAAGGATTTTATTCTCCTCGGCAAGGCAAAGCTTCTTATGAGCGTCTAAATGCATTTAGAAATACTGGAAGGTATATTTTGAATTTATTTTTGATGTAATTATTAATTAATTTATATTAAAAAAAAAAAACTATTTAGATTGATTGGACTATGCCTTTTGCAAAATGAATTGTGTCCTATGTATTTTAATCGCCATGTTCTCAAAGTTATTCTTGGAAGATCTATTAGATTCCATGATCTAGCATTTTTTGATCCAGTTATGTACGAAAGCCTTCGACAACTTGTACTAGATGCTGAGTCAAAAGATAAAGATTCATCTTTTTCAACATTTGATTTAAATTTCAGGTATATCATTTAATTTTTATATTAATCCCAGAAATAAAAGCTTAGTGGTATATAAAATCTAATTTTTTAGCATTGATCTAAGCCCAGAAGAAGGAGGAGGAAGTGTAGAGTTAGTTACTTGTGGTGTTGATATTGAAGTGACACCCAATAATGTTTATGATTATGTTAGAAGATACGCAGAGTTTAGAATGTTTAAAACCCAACAAAAAGCATTCTTTGTGAGTTTGAATTTATTACTCAATATTTTTTTTTAATAATTAATTTAAATTAATACTTATTCTATTAGGCATTGAGATCTGGTGTATTTGATGTAATTCCTGAGAGTTCATTAGATGGCTTAACTGCTGAAGATTTAAGACTATTATTAAATGGAGTTGGTGACATCAATGTACCATTACTAATTTCATATACAAGTTTTAACGATGAGTCTGGTCTTGCCACTAGTGACCGACAAATAAAATTTAAACGCTGGTTGTGGTCTATTGTTGATAAGATGACTCCATCTGAAAGACAAGATTTGGTAATATTCAATAAAAGTTTTGTTTCAGATTTTTATAATCTTATGATTTTGTATGTATTTGTATTCAGGTATATTTCTGGACTGGATCACCAGCTCTACCAGCTTCAGAAGAAGGATTCCAACCAATGCCTAGTGTCACCATGCGTCCAGCTGATGATTCACATTTACCTACTGCTAATACTTGTATTTCCAGATTGTATATACCACTTTACAGTAGTCGTACTATACTCAGGCATAAACTTTTAATTGCCATAAAAACCAAGCATTTTGGATTTGTTTGAATTTATGGTACGTTGATTATATAATGTATGTCAAAGAAAAAAACCACTAAAACAAAATAATAGAAATTTAAATTAAATGTTTTTTGACAAGTTTTAAAATCCTATTTTATTTATTTTTATTTTCAGTTATAAATATGTTTATTTTCGTGATGGTAATTTTCTATTTTTTTCTTTATATACATTTGTACTTAAATATATGTATTTGTGACTTTGAAAAATAATATTAAGTTATTAATATCACAATTAAACTATTGTACTTCTCATATTAGCTTTTACTTAATTGTGCAGTAACAGTACACATTGTATTGAATTATCTATAATTTTATATTTATAAGATGAAAAAAATATGTAATATCATAATTTTGTTATTGTTAGTGCTTTATAAACAATTTATGCTTTAAACTTATATTGGGAATCATCGTTTTTATTGAAACATTATTTTTCCTTAAAAATAGATGAATTTATAAAACAAAATAGATCTATTGAATGTGTTTTTTGAACATGTTTATTTGTCATTTATACCTCAAAGACAAAATATTTTAACTGTTGTCTCATAATTTTCTCTATAATGTTGAAATTGTGTTGTTAGCCTTGGAATGTTGATTTCCTCTCTGATTTATTTGGTAAGTTGTTCAGCTGTAGTAAATAAATCATGAAATCTTCACTTTACATTGATATGCACTTCCTTTATCAAAACACTTAAATAATTAGATTTGCTGTTTCCATTGTAGATACTAAGTCAACATTCATTTTTTGTAGATGGATTGGTAATACATGAACTATAGAAAAACGTCTTGAATCACAACCATTGCAAAAATAAAATTTGTATTTTTTCTAATGTAAAAAAATCAATCAAAAATTTTTATTGTTTGATTAATGTAATACCAAATTAATTTTCTTACTATGAAATAAAAAATATGTATTATGAAATATATATTATGAAAAATGCATTATGTGATCAAATCGAAAATAACATACCTATTAACACATTTGTTCTGTAGAAAATGAACTATTTCTGAATTTTTTGAAATTATAATTTTTTATTTGCGATTATAAAATACGGAACAAATGCAGTTTAGTTCCTACGCGATTTTTTCGATTTCCCCCTTAAAATATGTAATAATAATAATATTCCCTTAACACTGGATATAAATGTCTAATTCAAAAATTCTCACAAATCATTAATTGGGAAGTTATTCCAAAAAAACTATAAAACAGTAATTATTTCAAAAATACGTGATATCATCTGTGATAAAAACATCAATAAACTAATTTTCGATTTTTTTTTTTTTTTGTGTTTTTATGATAGATGGAAATATGCATAAAGATTTTAATTATTTATTGTACTTGCTGTTAAAAAATTCAAAAAATCGAAATGAAAAATGTGACGCCACATTCCATCAACATTATTTGTGCAAGCTCCTATTTGCGGATTTTTGAATTGAATAGATGGTTTACTGTTAAGTGAACTAATTCTTCATCGTCCAAACATTGATAACTCTAATAAAACAAATTAACACAATACTACACAACTCGATATCACAAAATCCCTCGCAAGTGATTGCGCGTGTATCAGTACCCGTAGCTCCATTCCATACAAATCGAAAATATCCCTTGACTTGCTATGTAAAACCACCTCATGTTGATCTCAGGATAAAAACTAAATATAATATGCACAATAATCTTGATAATAACATAATAAGTCCGATCCATTAACTTTCCTAAAATTGTTCAATGAAAAAATATCTGACATTCGGACTTTTATCCGATATTTGACAACACTGATCTTTAATCGTGTTCGTGTTCTGAATATAGTTAATATAAGAATCTTATGGGTCTGTCTAATATATAGAGTAAGATAGTGGCGGCATTTGCTATCAAAACTGAAGCCAATCTGTTGGTCATTACCCCCATGAAGAGTCCAAGTACGATAATTTTCTCTGCTAGTTTTGCTGTCTTCAATGAAATCTTACTCTATGGGTTCTGAAATCAAATATTGATAACAATCTGATAAGATAAGGATAATCTTATCCGTTGGCATGAATTAAGATATAAGTAGGTATATTTACAGATATTTATATTAAGTTTATATATAGTCCGTTATTAATCTCGTGTTGTTATCACATATATATATATATATAATTATAACTATTATTTATATCTGTGTTATTATTCAGTATAATCTATGTTTTAGTCTAAGAAAAATACACCAGTATACACTATATTAATTCTATTATGTTTGGTGTAAGTATTTTAACTGCGATAAATGAATTTATTTTTGTTTTATGGTTTGATTAACATTTTGATTATTATAATTATCTGAGAAATTAATATGCTAACATTTTTTTTATTTCTGTTACTTAAATTAATTTTCAATTAAATAGTAATATAAAGTTGTTTCAATAATATATGATAAATTTATGTATATCTCAATAATATTTTATAATAATTGGTATTTTATTTTATTAAATGTTCACTTAATGCTACAAGATCATTATGAATTTATATCATATTTTTGAATGACTGATGAATTATGATCAATCATTATATATCATATTGTTATAAGCCAACTTATTTACACTTGTTTTATGATTATTTAGAGAAATGACCTCTCGGGAGAAAAGTAATATCAATATACTAGGAAATGGATGCGGTTTAAAAGAATCTAAAAGTGTAATTCATAGAGCTGAAGCTTTAATAGAGATAGACACTGGTAAACTAAAAGCAAGACCACCTATTCCAACAATTAAGGATACTGTACAAATTAATAAACAAGCAAGTATAAAACCTTCAATTCCAACGATTAAAGAAACTGTACATCTTAATAGTCATGGTAAGTTAAATTAGTATTAATGATATGTATTAGTAACTAATGATTTAAATTAAACTTTTTATTTTTCATTTTGGAATTTTGGGCATTGTAAAAAATATATTTTAATTTTATAATTTATAACATTAATTTTATACTGATTAGAAATATATATAAATAATATAATTAATATGAAAAATATATCCATGTGTTTTATTACTTTATTTTTTTATAATGATAAACTAGTTTCAGTATTAAAAACAAATGAAGTTAATAAAAGGAAACTGATCAATTCATTTGATGAGCAAAAATCAGCTAAAAAAACGCAATTAAATGAAAAAAATACAATTTTGGAGAAAAAAAAGTTTGCTGAAGAACGAAAAAAAAGGTTAGATGAGTTACAAAAAACAATTAGAAAAGTAGCCAAAGATTCTGTCAAAAAAAAGGTACATAAAATATAATTTTAAATGCATTATTATGGTTTAATATAGTATACAATAGCACATAATATTTACCTATATTTATAAATCTTTGAATGTATTATTTTTTTATTTATCTAAGCTGCTGTAATTTAAAAATATGTATTAGTAATGAAATTATGTACATAAACAGTAAAATAATATAAATAATTGTTAACACTTAAAAAATTATCATTTATATTAAATTTCAAAAATAACTGGTGTATTCTAATCATTAATCTATTTTATATTGACATTAAAATTGATTAAATTATTATAATTTTAGATTATCCATGTTACGAATGAATCCCAGATTGCTCATAATAATATACCATCAAAAATATATCAACCAGAAGTATATTAACATTTTATTTTTATTTACACATTACTTATTTAACATATTTTCAGATTGATCAAACATGGTCACCTCCTCCTAAACTTAAAAGTCACAAGAAAACAACAAAAACTCCTGTATATTTTCAAAAAAATGTAATTAAAGATCAGAATGATGATGATAATAAAAGTTCAAAAATTACTAGAAATGTAGTTATTTTAATTTAATTTAATTTATTATTTGCTAATAATGTTTTTTTTCTCATTAGATAAAAAATATAATTCCAACATTTTCTAAGAATACAGGTACAACACAAAAAAAATTAATTGAAAAAAGTATGTTATTATTGAATAAAGTGTATTACATTTAATCAGTATATAATTTTAATTTTGGTATTTAATTTTTATAGAACCTCTAATACGGGATGTTACCAAACCAGAAGATTTATATAAAGGCAATCAATCAATTTATAATAGTATAATATTTGATATTCCAACACCTAATCTAGAAAATAATGATACTTCATTTATACAAAATGAAAATGAACATAATGGTTGGTATTTTCATAAGATTCTATGTAAAAAATTATTATTATTATTTTTCTTTTTTAGTGTCATTAACAGAAGAAATTTGTCACAATGAAAAACTTCAAGTTGAAAATGATGTGACTTGTAATGAAAAAATATCTGACATGAATTTGAGTGCTAAGTTTATTGATACTCCAAATATTGATCATGAAAAAAATGTTGAATTAAAGTTGCCTAATAAATTGAATGAAGATATAAATCAAAATATTGATAATTCAGTAGAGTTTCAAGAACTGTTATTTAATCAATGCTTGTCAAGGAAAAAATGTTCTTCAGAATCAACTCAAACCGATGATTTTAACAATTTGTCATCATTATTTTCTTCAAAAAGACCTCCACCTCCTATGAATTTTATTTCTGTATTAAAGTGTAAGTATCGCTTACTAGAAATAGAAAATGATAATTTGGAATTTTCTAAATCTATTGCTGATTTAAGAGTGAAAGAATGTACTATTTCAAATAGTTTTAACAATAAAAATTATATCAATAAATCTGTTGAGGGTAATATTCAAGAAGAATTAGATGACACAAGACATTTATCAAATTTTAATTGTAATGAGCGAAAACATTTAAATGATGATGAATCTTCATTAACCAATGAGATTATTAAATCAGATCAGAATGGTATATCTATGAATCATGTTACTGAAGAAAATATCAGTAATAAAAAATTACAAATAGAAAATAATGATAAATTAAATATTACATACAATGAAGGTAGTCAACATGTTTTGAAAAAATTGAATTGTGACTTAGAATGCTTGACAAAAATTAGTTCTTATAACAATGACAACTCACATAATGTATCTATATCTAAAGATTTTAAAAAATGTGAAGCTAATGCTATAAATAAAACATGGCCTTACTTTTCTGAAATTCATGATGAATTTAAAGCAGAACTTAATCTTCTTGAACAATTAAATGATTCTTTATGTGATATAGAAAAAATGAGTTCCAACAAATCAATTCAAAATAATGAACAGACTAATGCTCATTATCCCATTAATGATTTCAATTTTGAAACTAGTTTTAATGGTTTACTTCACAATAACAATAAACCAACACAGTTTTCAAAAATCAATGATTTATCTTCAAATATGATGTCTGTAGATAAAACAATAACTAGTTTCTCTATACAAATGTTTGAACAATTGATTAAGGATGAAGAACTCAGGGCAAAACAACATCATACTATACTTAATTTAAAGGAAAAGTCATTAACTAATCGATTAACATGGGAA